GATGGTTTCTTCCTGAGCTCTGTTGTTCCTGGTTGCTTTAAGTTCTTAGTCAAGAACCAGGTGAGATCTAGGGATGGTAAAATCATATTTTGTTCTGGATTTTATTGCAAAAATTCAGGCATCTTCTCACTGCTTCTTTACAATTAATGGACAATGTGGGAAACATCCTTCCACCCCCTTTCAGTCAAGATGTATCTACCTTGTTTTCTGCAAAACTAGAGAGCAGTGAGGGGTTCATCTGATCCTTGTTCAGTGAAAAACAAACCATTCCTGGGAGAGCCAGAGGGCGCAGATTTGAAACAGTGGCTCTGAGGACATCATGGCCAGCAAGACAAAGTAGTATTGGCTGGATCTTTACCTAAATAAAGTTGAGTTTCCATTCATTTCAAAGGGAGCTCCCTCAGATTATCTTTTTTTTTACCCTAACTGAAATGAATGAACAGAACTTGTGTGTTTTTCAGGCGTTTTTGGTACACAGAGGCCCCTCCTTTGCTCCTTCAGTTTAATCTGACTGCGTAAAAGTCATTTCCTCATGCTCAGTTTTTCCCCATTTAGTATCTTTTTTTCATATTCAGTATCCTCAGGGAAAAGACTGAACAGTTTTCCTGGATTTTCCCTCTCAGGAAAAAGATTTTTCTCGTCTTCCTGGAAAACGCTAAACACAAAATTGTTCAGGAATTTCTTACTGAAGCTTTTCACGCTATCTCCATCTATCATAAACTGAAAGGGCAAAAGAGCAGACCTTCATCTTTAGTGCTTATTTTTGATGCCCATCGGAGCATCGGACGGAGAGCAGTCCTTGCAGTTGAAAAAGCAGCTTTCTGTCTCTTTAAAACTGTTTATGAATCATTGTTTGGAATGAGAGCATTTGAAGCTGATTAACTAAGAAGTTACACAGCTATCAGCTAGGACAGTCCTACCCTCATGCTTTTATCCATCAGCAGGTACTGTGGAGCGAGCTGACATTAAACTGGCACAATCCCAGCGCAAAGGTGAACTCCAAGAAAAAAGTATACTGAATTTTAATAAAACTTTCCTCAAAGGTCAGCCTCTCTAAGGTATAAAATCAATCTTTCTCCCTTCCTTTTTCCTCAGCCCATTTATTCATAGCTATAGAAAATTCTGATACTCATATTTCTCATTCCCCCCCTTACAGTACCAATCTACCTGTGACCATTATTTCTCCCAGCATTTTTATTTAGGTGCCTTACTCCTCATTTCACTCTTTCACCTGGCCTTCTCTGTACCCCAATCTCAAAATGACACTTATCAGGCCTCCCTTCCAGAACAGATCCTGCCTCAAACCAGCTTCAGGACCAAAAAAAACCCTTATAACTTCATCCTTGAAGGTGGCTTAAACTTTGGGAGGAGCACAGCTCTGATGCAAAGCCTTTATTAAAGTGTGTCAGGTTTCTGTTTGTATTTCTCCTTCTTACCCAGCAGCTGCCCTCTGTGTCTTGCTCAGGACACCAGTAACATTTGCCAAGTAAGCTATGACATTAGTAGCATGCCACTTAGAAGGGAATGGTGTCCTTGTGAGCTCTGAGCTCCTGCAGATTGACCCCCTTTACTGACACAGACCTAGGAAAATATTATAATTTTATCATCTTTTCTATTTTTTTTATTTTCTTTTTTTCTCCCTTCCCCTCCCCTTCCCCTCCCATTCTATTTTCTTCTTTATCTTTTATCTTTCATCCTTTCACCTTTTTATCTTTTTTTTTAATTTTTCCCTTCCCTTCCCTTCCCTTCCCTTCTTCCCTTCCCTTCCTTTCCCATTCTATTTTCTCCTTTCATCTTTTCTTTTATCTTTCCATCTTTTCAACGTTTTTTTTCTTTCTTTTCTAATTTTCTTTTTCTTTTTACTTTTTTAACTATTTTTTTGTACTTTTTCATTTTTTTTTTGAAGTCATCACTGAATCCAAAGGCAATACCAGCTTAGCAGGGTTTTTTTTTCAGTGTGCTAGCTGCACAGAGCTGTAGATACCCAGATCTGGAAACTGCTTCTCAGTCCTTGGCATACAAGCTCCAGCTCTTGGTAGCCAAGTGTCTCAAATCTTGGCATCACCAGAGCCACCAACAGCATGAAGAACTGCTGGTGCTGGGGTTTGGCTTTGCCTGCCAAGCTGAGCTGTGTGGGGCAGGCCAGACCCAGAGCATCTCATGAGGATCCTTATCTGGGCTCTTGGGCTTCCAGGACAGGACACATAGTGCTGGACTGTCCACACAGTCACAGCCCCTCACTGCTGTACCCTCTGTCCTCCATTCTCCCCCTTTGAACGCAACACTTCCCTCCTTCCCCTTCACAGGCTATTTCTCTGCCTCAGTAGTGAGATTAACTGTACCTCTGTTAAGACCGACAGACATTTATCTGACTGCTAGTTCCCCCCCTTCCCATGCTTTCCCTGCATGCTCCCACATCCCCAGGACACTAATCCCATTCCTCAACCCCCTGCACTGCAGCAGAACAAGTCTGGGCACGGCCTGGGTTGCTGTGGAGCCACAGAGCAGCTCACAGCAAGTCACTGACTGTGGTTGTTTGACCTGGGGGTAGCAGTCTGCAAACAAGAGTTATGGCACACACATCCTGCCATGTGTGCATTTAACTTAGCATGTAATGCTGCACGCAGCAGCGCCTGCCAGCCAGCTGCTCCTGCGAGCAGGGAACTAACCATGTGTCCCCTTCACATTACTAGAGACAAGGTTGGGGTTCTCCTAGAAGATGACAGGAGAGGGTCCAGAGAAGAGCCACAAAGATGATCCAAGGATTGGGAAGCCTTGTGAGCAAAGGCTGAAAGAGCTGGGTTTGTTCAGCCTGCAGAAAAGAAGGTTCAGGGGGGACCTTATCACCATGTGCCAGTATTTAAAGGGTGATTAAAGAAGACAGAGACTCCCTTTTTCCAAGGAGTCAAGTGGAAAAGGTGAAGGGTGATGGGCACAAGTTACTCCTGGGGAGATTCCAACTGGATGCAAGAGGAAAATTTTTCACAATGAGAACAACCAGCCACTGGCATCACCTCCCCAGGAAGTGATGGGTTCCCCAGCACTGGACACTGTTAAGATTCAGCTGGACAGGGTGCTGGGACATCTAATTTAGGTCATGCTTTGCCTGCTAAGGGTTGGACCAGATGACCTTGGAGGTCCCTTCCAGTCCTGGTATTCTGTGACTCTATGATGACAATGCCCCATGAATTTCTCTGTTTCAGCTGAATTCTGTTCTTTGTTATTCTTTATTCCACCAAACCAATGTTATACACAAGCTAATTTTGTTGTTCCCATCTAAAAAAAGTCTTTGTGGTCAGAGAGCTCCTGAAGCTGGGCGACATCTGATGGGTACGCACACCCTCTGTAATCTGCAATTACAGAAAAATCACTGCTTCAGCTGGTACAGTGAAATGTAAGAAAATCTTGCTGCATTTCAGAATCATTGTTAAGATACATGCTGGAGAGCAGCCATGCTTGGTTGCTCACACTGATAGATGAGGAGAAAAAGGAACATGCGTTAAAATCAGCAAATGGATAAAACTGGGCTAGAGAAGAATGAATACAATGGGGAAAACTTTCCATTTTTCCCAATTCAAAGCCCAGGCTCCCACGCTAATGGAACTGTGTTCCTAAATAGGAAAACGTTAAAAAAGAGACTGTACTATATTTCGGAATGTACGTTACAAAGCTTTATGTCCACCATCAGAACAAATCTTACATATTCTGTAAGGAACAGCAATGTTCATTTAGCAGAGAAGATAAAAAGGACAAAGACAGGTGGTGGAAATCGTGAGCCTTGCTTTTTACTGCCCTTAAACTCTTGTTCATGTTGATATAGATAGGTACAAATTTTCTTTTTAATTCCTTCAAACAACTTTAAAGGTTAATAAACTGTATTTTGGCTTTAGAGATCTGTAAATAATGCTGATTTAGATTTTTAAAGAGTGTTATTAACTGAGGAACCAAACTGAGTTTGCTTTAGTAGACATAAGAAGGTCCTTTTATAGAGACTATATACTATATGTATTTATATATAGTATATAGTCTCTGGACCATAGTATAGGCACTATAGTCTCTACAAGGTCTTGCAGAAACGTAGTTGACAGTGTGGAGATCAGATTGCAGAGCCCATTGTTCAGTTAGTGGTGATGGCTGTCATGCTGCCCAACATCGCAGGACATGGCTATGAACACGGGATGAGATCAAAACCCTTCTCATTTAACACAGATTAAGAAAGTCTTCTCACTCCTCTCTGCCATGCTCTGAAATACTTCTGTTGATTTGCTCTGCTAAGGAGAAAAATGGTCAAGGTTTGTCAGGAAAGATGAGACTATATATATTTTTTTCCCTTTCTTTCAAGATTAATCTTTCAGTTGAACAGAATTGGCACCATGAGTAAAGTTTTGCTGCTGAAGTTGTTATTTTGTATTGATTGCATTCTTAAAGATTTTTTTTTAGCAGGGAGGTTATTGCTGTGTATTAATCAAAAGGACTGAAAAATACAGCATGTCCTATCCTGACCTCTTTGTGGATCAAAAAGCCAGTTGGGGTTTTGAGAATACAAGTGATCCTGGATTCGACCCTGGGTTTAGGTGCTAATAATTTAACATTATTACAGTTTGGCTACCTGCTGATGTGTTACACGTGGACAACAACGGTCACTGCAGTCTAAAAGTCAGATCTACTTTTTGTTTTCAGGCAAATGAGGATAAATTGAAGCGACTGTATTACTAGGAACAGGTTTGATTCTTGCTGACCTGAAGAGGTTATTCTTAGGGCAATTGCTTGTCTTTAACATTTAACCTCAGATTTGTTCAATAGCCTGCGATGTTAGCACTGACTGCATTAGAAGCTTCCTTTACAAAAGTACATCACTGGTTTTACAGCTTTAAAGGCTCCCACAGCTGCCTTGATTATGCATTAACTCTGTATATTTAATTCTGTTCCTAATGCTTTTCATGTAGTGTCAAAGCCATTTAAAAGAGAGTCTCTGCTTCTACAACCTTCTTTATTTTTAGCAACTCAGCAGCACAAATTAGGTTTGTGAAGCTCCTCACGAAATCTCACCTGGAAACATTCATCTACGGTGTTATGCAGCTTTCCCCACTTCAAAGGGAAACGTGGTGCTGCTGCTACCCCAGTTAGAGCAGCACCGAGCACTGGGACATGTTGAACTGTGTTCACTGACACAGCCAATGTTATCTGTCAGCCTGCTCAGTGTTCCTTGTACCAGGGAGATTTCTAAGTTCTAATTTAAATAAACATCCCCCTCTGTATTTGTCTTTTCACTTTATCTGCTTTGGGAGTTATTTTCCATTGTCTCTTAACTGTTGTGGTAAAACTAATGACAACTCATTCAAAACAAGGATTCCGAGCCTCTCATTTGGATTGCCGGCTGCGCTCCAGCAATTCCCAGTAGCCTCCCAGTTGCCAATGCTTGTAATTTATAATCTCCACGTTTTATTCTCCATTTGGGACACACAGTGATGACAGACGACACAACTTCCACTGAAGGCCTGTGCAACCCCTTATGGTTAGAAACGACTGCAAAGCAGGGGGGAAATCATAACTATTTTGCTTCTAGATTCAGATTTTCACGTTGTTTGCAATACTGCAATCCTGAGAGCACCAACATTGATACAGCTGAATAAAACCTTTGTGGTTTACAATGAATTAGGCCTTCTAGCAGGATTTTTCAGCTGTGGAAAATCCCCAGTGCTATCTTCCTCTGTTTAGCATTCCGGTTTTCAGGCTCCTGCCTTCCAGTCTGGTATATACTCTAAGCTCCAAAGGGTTACAGGGCTGGCATTTCTTCTGACTGGCATTTCCAAATCTCTCCTGAGGCCCATGCAGCATTTATGCCAAAATGCTTTATTATTGTACAAACACAGAGCAGGAGGAGGAGGAGAAGAAAGACCAAAACCCTCCCCAGTTTGTGCTCCCAAACCAGGTCCTGCTCGCTGGTTTGCAGCCAACCATACCCACCCCGGCGCTGCGAACACCCGCAGGTGTATTTAAAGAGCAAAACCGGTGCTGTTTTAATGAGCAGAGGAGCCTGGCTCTCCCGCCACCGCGCCTGAGTTCTTAGCCCACCAGCCTCTCGGTGCGGGAGGAGGCGGCGGCGCGCTGCCTGGCCTGCCTCCCGCAGTGCATTCAGCCGGTAAAGCGAGGCCGGGCCGGTTAAAGCGAGGCCCACACCGGGCTCGCTGGCAGAGCGAGGGCGCAGGGGCCGGACGGGCGCGGGGTGCCGGCCCTCACAGCCCCGGACCTTCCCGGGGTCCCTGAGGGGTGCTCCTGAGGCGGCGGCGGCTGCTCCCGCGCTTCTCCCCCCACCCGCGGGTAACTTTTCCCCCCAAAACCGGGGTGTGACGTCTGCCTCCTCCACACAGAGTGACCAATCAGGAGGCTACTCGGCGGGCAGGCAGCCAATCGGCCAAGCGTTGCTACCTGTGGGGAGTATTTTTAGCCACCGTGGGGGGGGGGGGGGGGATCGAAGTGCGCCCCCTCCTCTGAGGGTGGCCATGGGGAGCCCGCCCAACGGGGGGCTGCGGGTGCCCTCGCCGAGCCCCGGCTGGCGTTGCCGAGGCCCCCCGCTTCGCCGCACGGCAGCGGCGGTCATGGGAGATGTAGTTCAGCGCCTTCCCCCCGCTCCCTGCGGAGGTGAGGGGCGCGAGGGCAGCGTTTGACGCCGTCAGTGACGCCACGGTGTTGTGAGGTGAGGCGCGAGCTGACGTTGAGAGCGGCCCCTGCACGACGGGGGGGGGGGTGAGGGCAGCAAACGGCCCTGCGCGGAGGGGTGGGCGGGGCCTGGCGGAGGGTGGGCGGGGCCAGACGGGGAACCAGCGTCGTTAAGGGAGGGGTTGATGGGCGGGGCCCGGCGAGGGAGGGGCGGGGCGAGGGAGGCCATATATAGGGGCGCGCAGGGCGGCGGGGCAGGAGCAGAAGCAGCGCAGCTGTGGCGTTCGAGCGCGCCCGCCGAGGGGGTGTGAGCAGCGCAGCCCTCCCCCCTTTCCCTCCCCCCCCTTTTTTTTTTTCCAACCCTTCCCCCTTCCCTCTTTTTTTTTCTCTGCCTTTCCCATCCCCTCCCATCCTCGCCGAGGGAACCGGCTCTCGGAGATGGGGGTCGGGTGCTGAGCCCCTCCCGCACCCCATCTCCACCCACCCCACCCCTCCCCGCACTCACACCCCCGCCGGGATCGTTTGCACTACCCCCCGCACACCCACCCGGGTGAGTACCGCTCGCTGAGGGCGGGGGGACGGCGCAGGCCGGTGCGGCCGTGTGCGCTGGGAGGGCCCCAGGCCGATGGCAGACGCTGAGGCGAGGGGTTGAGGCAGCCACCGCCCGGCCCCGGCCGTGAGGCGAGCGAGGGGTTGAAGCAGCCGCCGCCCGGCTCCTGAGGCGGGGGGTGAGGCGGGTGCGGCCCCGGCTGCAGTAGCGGGGGGCCTAAGGCAGCGGCCGTCAGGCCCCGTCCGCTGAGGCAGCGATCGGCCGGCCCCAGAGGCAAGGGGTGTCGAGGCGGTCACGACCCCGAGGTGACGGGGCCTGAGGTGGGCACGGCCCCACGGGGAGGGGCAGGGCCGGGTGCCGCGGGGGCTGCAGCGGCACGGGAGCCGGTGGGGAGGAGGGTGAGGGGGCGGCCGGCAGCCCCACAGAAAGGGGGCTGTGGGGAGGGCACGGCCCGGGGGAGCCGGGCAGCCAGAGGGTCCCTCCCAAGGCGGTCCCTGGACGCGCTCGGGCTGGGAGGAGTGAGCGTTGCCGGCTGACTAATAGCTGCTGCTGCGCTGGGCCTCTCCGGGCAGCGCTGGCAACCGTCCTCCAGGACCCTGCCTCGCGCGGGGGGGCCCAAAGGGGTGTCGCTGGGCCTGTGTGCTGAGAATAAGGGCCTTGCAGTCCGTCCCCCCCTCCTCCTTCCAGTTATCTGCCTTCCTCTTGTTCATTTTCTTTCTTACGGGCTCAGAAAATGCTCTTCCTCCTCCTCCTGCTGTTGCCGGAGCTCCCAGGGCTGTGAGCAGAAAGCTAATGAGACCCGACTGCCTGGTTATGTAACTCCGCTCACTGCTTCAGGCTCCTGCCGGTGCTCTGCTGCTGGGGGGCTCGTGGCCTTGGGTCCCTGAGAAATACCGTCCTCTTTACATCAGAAAAGGACTTTGAAATAATCACGCTGATTTGTTTGATCAGCTGTTTGCACCATGGATCAGTTTCAGGGCTTAGGAAAATATATAGCGTCTGCCCGGTGCACCTTGAAAGAATCATTTCTGCCTTAAAGGACATGGGGGAAGGGAAACAAACCAGATGGATTAATAAATCATTTTTAAATGCCCCTTTTAACCACCCAGTCAGATTTTTCTGTGCTGATTGTGTCCCTTTTGTAAATATCTTCTGTTTGCCCTTGATCTTTTCCTTATCCACACCCAGTGCTGATCCAGCAAACGTTTAAAGGTCGCCTTATCGTACAGGCTTTCAAACTATTCCCATACCATGTTGGGGAGAACACGAGTGGCTGGGAAATAGGGTTCCAGACTTTAAAAGGAGATTATTTGGAGCAAGAAATAAAGCAAGCATTGCATCCATATTGTTAAGGGATTTTGATACTGACTTTGATTTCTCTACTCTTTAGTGACAGCTACACTAATTTTGTTCCTAGTGATGCAGTGCAGAAAAACACACGCTGTTAATTGAAATTTTCGTTGGGCGTTTAACTTGAGCCAAATATATATATATTGGTTCAGTGGAACTTTTTGAACACAAAGGTGTCTCTTCTGCATGAATACCTTTATGCAAAGGTACTGCAGGATTATCGTTAACAGTATGCGTGCTCATCTTTGAATTTTGTCCCTTTTTTAACTTAAGCTAGCTAATTTCTCCTTTGTCCTTTGTGAAGGAGTGGCAACCATATTTTATATTAAATATAAAATGGAGTCGTGGTGGAGAAAAGCAGTCGGGTTTGAGGCTTGCAGAAGCCTTGTTAGCCCTAGTAACTTTCTAATCTGAACTACAGGCAGTGCAATATATCAATTTAGTATATATTAATATATTACATCTCATAATACAGAATAATTCGTAAAAAGGGAATTATTTGTGAATCAGTTTATTGCAATCATTTTGCAGTCACTGCCACCCTTACGACAGGATCCGTGCATCTATTTTGTATGCATTGACTGCGTTATTGTAGCTATTCCAGGAAGAGTTCTTGTCTATGTGCAGCGGACATTTTCTCTTCAGTTACCATGATTTCACCAGCACATGTTTTATAGATGATTTGCTTGGACTTAAAAATGTTGCATAATTTCAGTTGTTTGGGTGAAATCTTCTAAAGCAGTTGTTAACCTTCTTACAATTCTGCAGCTTAACAGTACAACCACTATGTTTGCAAACTTTAAAATGATAAACGACCCTTGGACTAAGACCTTTCAGGTTATACTAATAGCCTGGTGCTAAATTTTGCAGCTGAGTAGTATAAATCATCCAAACACGGGTTGGTAATTGAACCCTTGACAGGCCTGGCAGTTCTGTGATGTCTTAAACATTATCCTTGCTGCTCTGTGAATAGCTCGACAGCAAGCTCATGTGATTCTGAAATGCCCCATGCTGTATATGTAAACACTCGCCTAGTGCATCTTCCACAGCATTGTCTGTAAGTCATCCTGAATGTAGTTGACATCCTCGCCTTCCGCAGGCCTGAGCATAAACAGTTCAATGCATGTTTTTTGACTTAAAGTAGCCTATTTTATGCAGAAGGCGAGGCTAAAAGAATAGGCCTCAGAGCTTGATCTTATGCTTTCCTTATTTGGATGTGTTTGCTTTTGTTTTTTCTTAAAGGAACAAGAGCACTCAAGGTGAAGGATAATAATCAACTAGGATCAGCACTTTGAATGAAATTTTGGTTCCCTGTGGCATCTTGAAGGCATTCTTCTTCGGGTTTTGAAGCAGACTTATAACTTTGTGGCATAGCAGCTATGCAGCTTGAAATCCAAGTAGCACTCAATTTTATTATTTCATATTTGTACAATAAGCTTCCCAGACGACGTGTCAACATTTTTGGTGAAGAGCTTGAAAGACTTCTTAAGAAGAAGTATGAAGGGCACTGGTATCCAGAAAAGCCATACAAAGGATCAGGGTTTAGATGTATACATATAGGGGAAAAAGTGGACCCAGTCATAGAACAAGCATCCAAAGAGAGTGGTTTGGACATTGATGATGTTCGTGGCAACTTGCCTCAGGATCTTAGTGTTTGGATTGACCCGTTTGAGGTTTCATACCAAATCGGTGAAAAGGGACCAGTGAAAGTGCTTTATGTGGATGATAATGAAAATGGATGTGAGTTGGATAAGGAAATCAAGAACAGCTTTAACCCAGAGGCCCAGGTGTTCATGCCAATTAGTGACCCAGCATCTTCAGTGTCTAGTTCTCCTTCTCCTCCCTTTGGCCACTCTGCTGCTGTGAGCCCAACTTTCATGCCCCGCTCCACCCAGCCTTTAACCTTCACCACTGCCACATTTGCTGCCACCAAGTTTGGCTCGACCAAAATGAAGAATAGCGGCCGTGGCAACAAGGTCGCCCGCACCTCTCCCACCAACCTTGGCTTGAATGTCAATGACCTGTTGAAGCAGAAAGCCCTTTCCTCCTCCATGCACTCTCTCTACGGGCTTGGCTTAGGCAGTCAGCAGCAGCAGCAACAGCAACAGCAGAAGACTTCTGCCCTTTCTCCTAATGCAAAGGAGTTCATTTTCCCCAACATGCAGGGTCAAGGTAGTACCGGTAGCATCTTTCCTGGTGACAGCCCCCTTAACCTCAGTCCTCTTCAGTACAGTAATGCCTTTGATATGTTTGCAGCCTATGGAGGTCTAAATGAGAAGTCTTTTGTGGATGGCTTGAATTTTAGTTTAAACAACATGCAGTATTCTAACCAGCAATTCCAGCCAGTTATGGCTAACTAAAAATAAACCGAAAGTGAAATACAAGTAAATACTATTGTACAAGTTAAAATGCACGTACCCAAGGGTGTATCTTTTTTTCCACCTCTTGAGATTTTTTTTAAGGCTTGTAGTATGAATACATTCAGGCTTGGTTAGATAAATACAACATGCATCATTTTTTCATTTGCCAACCAAGCACAAAATTATTTTATACTGACTGTACATTACAAAAAATATACTCTCAAAATATGGCCTCTTACAGTATTTAAGATATAGCAAGGACGTGGCTGATTTTTTTCACATGTGTATATATATATATGTCCCCAAACATATATGTATATATATTAAAAAAATTGGCACTAATAGGTGGGTTTATTGGTCTTTTTCTAATTGTATAATTTAATTTAGTACAAAGTTTGTAAAATATCAGAGTATATATATTGTTTCTACAACATGGTATTGCATTTATATCTTTTTACTACAGTGATCTGTGACAGCTGCAGCAGCTTCATGTTGTATTTTTTTTACTGAAATTGTAAGATATCCATCTTAAAGACATCAATTCTAAAAAACAAAAAAAGAAAAAAAAATAAAAAAGTTGTGTACAGAATATTCCTTAGTGGTGGAATTAAAATGTACGAAATATTTGCTTTTTTCAAAAGAAACACAAATTGTATTTTCTGTTAAAAGTTTAAAGATTTTTGCTATATATTATGGAAGAAAATGTAATCGTAAATATTAATTTTGTACCTACATTGTGCAATACTTGAAAAAAGGTATAAAAGTATTTTGAGTCAGTGTCTTACATGTTAAGAGGGACTGAAATAGTTTATATTAAGTTTGTATTAAAATTCTTTAAAATTAATGGGCTGCTGTGGTCTGTGTTTTTACTGTCCCGCTGAAGATCGGTGCTGCACTGGCGGTGCTAGTGATGCAAAACAGTCTGACTCGGTGCCTCACAGCGGACTCGATGGAGAGCACTGCTGCACTGATGCTCCACAATAACAGGTTGCTTTACCTAAAACACTCCTGACAGAGCAAAACTTGCATTTGTTTTTCCATAACTGCAGCTCGCTGAGGTAAAAAGGTAATTTTATATTTTCTTTCCTTGAGAGTTAAGGCTGTAAGCTGTGTGAATGTGGAGCTGTCGCGCGACCTGATCTATCTAGAAGGGACTCTGGTGATTCAATGAAAATTCCCTTTCCACGTCATCAGAACGGATTTGAACCATTCTCTCCAGAGGTCCTAGGCCCGTGCGTCAGCGTTCTGCTTCTGTATTGGGGATTAATAGCTCAGAAACTACACTGAATAAAAGCGCTGATTTACAGTTTACTAAACTCACTGTAAACTTTCATTTTGGATGCTCTATTAAAAAGAGAAATGAAATGCAACTACAGTGAGAGATTATTTTGTTTTAGGCTTGTAGTTTTCATACTTTGAGGCTTGGTTAAATAAGATGAACCAAGGTTAAGATTAGATTTATTCAAAGGTTTTTATTTTAGTGGATTGTACTAAATTTAACTGAATAGGTTTTCAAAACCTGAATGTGAGTGGGAGGAGGAATAACTCGGAGGCTGACAAAGCAACTCTGCTTTTCCAGGGTTATTTGGAAGTTGCATCCCTTGCTCTTTCCCATCTGTCCAGCAGATAGTGTTCCTTGCTAGTGGACATTGTCAAGGGGAAAAGAAATTACTCTTTTTAACATATGAATCTAACAAATGTCACCTTATTTTCCACGACAGTTCCAATTGCACAGAGAAGATACATGCCAAGTGGGTAGCCCTTTGGCTTACCATGGTGAATTTTAAGCTGCAGGAGCTGCAGAGGATTAAATTTATCAGAACTTCAGTACTCTGAAACTGGAGTTTAGGATGAAGATCAGCCCTTTCCTGTTTGATGCACTTGGTGTGCATTCCGTGCAGCGTACACCCCTAATCTGGTGGCAATAGCCTGGTGCTGTAGGAAGAGGGTATGTTCAGCATCAGTGCAAGCTCTTTGCCTTGGGTAGAGGCTGTGAAGAGATGGACGGGGTGGGTGGCGGTGCAGGATTGACCATGGTATCAATTTCTAGTGCCTTGACAACCGATTGAAAAGCAAGAATGGAGCAAAGATTTCTTTAGGTGTTCAGCTGTCTCTAACTGGCTCCTTTTTATTAGGTTTGCCCTCTGGTTTATCTTTCCACTAACAGCACATCAGTGGACAGAACTATTCTTAAAAGTGCATCACTTGGTATCTAATTTTAATTGAATGATTTTGCTCTTAAAAGGAATTAGAGAAAAAAACCCAAAAGTGGATCTATTACTGGGAAATGGAGAAATTTAACTGTGTTAATTCTATTTGTATGTTTTTATAGACTTCCTACAATTTTACTACTTAAAATACAATAAAATTACCTACATTGCCTACGAGGTGGAGCAATGACAGTGGAGACTGTTCTACGTGCTCTGTAATACTTCTATTCCTGTGATTTAAACTGAGATCATTTGTCTTAAAGGTCATCGCGCTTATCCTCTTCCCATGCCGATTTGCTCCCTTCCACTTTGACCAGCCCTGCGCAGGAAGGATCTCTGGAAACAAGGTTATTTTTTGCAGCACCTTTTAATATAAGGATTTTCCTAAGCAGGGTTTGTTTGTGGTGCTTTGCAAGGAGACAAGCTGTCGAGAGAGCTTCCCGTTTGCTCAAAGAATGCAAATGTGAAGATTTTGAATGTTGTCTCTTACTCCTTATAGTAATTAAAGATGTGTGCTTTCTGTTCAGTCTACTTCACCCATTTATTTATCTTTTGCTAAAGCTTGGTGCTGAATTTGTTAGATAAATATTTACATTGCAACATTCTGTTCTAAATGAGCGCTGAGTCAATCTGGTTGAATTTGCACGCACCCAGTGTTCTGCTCTGGGGCTGTGCTGTCAGGTGAGTGCCTTTGCTTTGGCAGAAAGGACCTAAAAGGGAGTGAGTGGGGAAAAGGGAGCCTTTGCTCAGTTGTGCAAGTTCTTTTGTATTTTCTCTTGTGAACATGCAATTTACTTCCTTAAAATTGATGGTGTAAGTTAAACCTCGGAAGATGTCTTTAATTTACAGTGAAGAAAAGGGTAAAACCGTAAGTATGTGTCCCCTCAGTGCTGCTCAGTGTATTGGGTCTCTTCACGCAGAGTCCCCACCCAAGCAGAAGTTCAGAGCACATCCATCCATAAGGCTCACTCAGTTCAGCACAAGATCCTAACTTTTGAGCTCAGAGCACCTTGGCATGGTGGGGTGAAACGGGATCGCCAGACAGCTCTAGGCTGTGCTGCATCTTGTGGGTAGGTGACAGACCTTACTCTTGGTCACAAGTCTAGTAGTGTTCACCAAAATGAAATTGATGGGATTATGTCTGTAAAGAAGGGCCAGCTCACAGGTGGAGGTTACAATACCTAGTTCTGAAAGGATGTGAATCCAGAGGGCACAGGCAGGCCTGGCGCTGGAGTCTTGGTGAGTACAAGTTTTGTAATTCTCTCAACTTCAACTATGCTATCATGAGTACATATATCATTGGTATTCTAGTCAACTGTTAATCAACTAAGTTATCATCATTGATATATCACAGTGAGAACAATCAACCATTGGAATAATCTCCCCAGGGAAGTGATGCATTCCCTAACACAGGGCACTTTGAAGATTTGGCTGAACAGGGTGCTGACACGTCTAGTCTAGGTCATGCCTTGCCTAGGAAGGTTGGACCAGATGATCATTTAAGGTCCCTTCCAGCCTCGTATTCTGTGATTCTATGATCTATGCAAATTGAGGACTGGATGTTAGCCACAGGAAGGTGAATCCCTCCTTCATAATGCAAAATTAGCTATTAAACATGGCTCATACAGTCTCTTGCTACAGACAGCCGTGGCAGGTGATAACCCAGCTACAGCACGGCTGCCTACCCAGCTGTCTGCACCCTGTGCTCCCACTATTGCAATGTGCAAAAGCCTGTCAGTAGCAAACAGCCCCGCTGCATTTGTGAAATATCAAGTAACCAAACAACTAGTTGTTAAATCAGCTCTTTGGACCAGCATGGGATCAAAGCAGAGTTCAGTTACTGATCTGACACCCCAGACTGTTCTATTAACGTTTCAGGAATAAATACCTCAGAGTTTGTGTTGGTGGTTGTGGAGCAGATGAAGCAAACCGGCGGTTCAGCACTCCTTTTTTATATCATCAGCAAGTTGATTTAAAATGAGTGTACAGAGCTGGCTGCATTCCTCTCATGAGCTGCATAAAAAGTTCACTAAATCGATGTGCCAGAGCTGTAAAATCCTGCTGAAGGGATTGTTTCCAAAGATCAGTGAAAGGGATGGTTAAACTGTTACCGCGGCAGCGTGTCTATGACTTTTGTCCTCTTGGCTTTATTTTAGTGACGGTAGTAAGGAGTTTTGCTTTACAGAAGGGAAAAAGCATTAAGACTCAGGAACATAAACCACGTTCCCTTTGGCACTACGAGTTCTCTACCTCATAGACAAAATATGATCAGGGTGCAGAACGAATAGCAGGTGTAAAATATTTTTAGAAGAGCCTTGGCGTAGAGCACAGGCATCCCTGAGCCCCCATCCTTCTTTCTGTCAGCTTTTGTTTGTTAAAACCAATTTGTGCTACCGATGGCTGCAGTTCTGGTGGAACTTGCTGTAGTTTCAGTTGGTAATTTAGCACTTCAGAGGCCTGAAACGAGAGATCCTCCCCTCCTCTGAGAGCTGAGACACCATTACATTGAAACAGTCTGTCAGCTCCGTGCCCTCATGGAGCTCATTGTGCTGCATTCCCTCATCCCCTTTGGCTTTGAGATTACCTCTAGCATAAAACAAAAGAGGACTCTGGGAATGCTGTGCCTTAATTATTGTTTAGTGTGTCTGTGAGCTTCTTTGAGAAGGCTGTATGCAACTGAAACAAGACCTGCAAACCCACCTTTTTTTCCTTGGCAGAACATATCCATTCCCTGCTTCACCCATAATGCCTGCCTTTGTCTTCTCCCTCTCCCACAGCATCCTCGGAAGGACCAGCTTGTACGTTGCTCCCTTTGTTCGCTGCCTCGTGCTGCTTGTCCTGCTGCACCAGGCTTTGATGCTGCTCTTCTTTTCACCCAGACTGCACTTCTCACTGACCTCATCTCTTCAACTGCTTGATGCCAGGAACTGCCATGGGAGACCTCAGGACACAAGGCTCTAGCCACTGACAGGTACCCTCTCCCTCTGTCCCTTGCAGGCTAAGGCCTACTTGACTTCACTTTAAAGACATAGCGTAAAGACCTACTAAGTGTCAGAATACAGTTAAGGATTATATTAGATGCTCAAAGTCTCACAAAACTGGCTGAATTTGCTGCTTGGGCAGCCTCATTCAGTAATGCAGCAGCCTGGGAGTTTTTAGTCATGTTGATGGAAATGAGAGGTGGCAAGTTAGTGAAGAACATGGCATAACAGATGACAGCTCAGGCACCCCGTGTTCCAGATCTGACTCTGGGCAAGCCACTGCCCTTTCCTGTGTTGTTTTCCTCCTCTATCTCCATTGAAATTCACTTTTAGCAAGTGTCAGACATTAGCTGGCTGTCAATAAACAGCTTCATCCAATTTCTATGTGCCACAGGAACATCTGAGGTTGACCTGCTGTTCCCACCTTTTGCTGCCTTGAGTCTCTGTGGCCTTTGAGAGCCTCCTCCATTGTACAATTCACTTGACGTGTATCAGATGACCTTTACATTTTGAAACAAGGCATGCATGTAGAAGTGAAGCCCTTGATTCTCATTGTCCATGGTGTATAGTGTCTGATTCACCCACCATCAGAGCAGAAGGCCTCCAGAGCAGTGAGATCTCACATACCGACTATTGTGATTCTCTAAAAGAATTTCTGTGGGTGTTCCTACAGATATGGAAGTATATATTTCTCCAGTACAAATCATGTGAAAATTTTGCACCAGCCTACTCACTGAAGTTGCTGCTGGTCAAAATCAGACTTGCATACAGATTGTACAAACTAAAACAAATTCCCCTTTGGTTTTCATTAGACCATAGGGTTAAGAATCTCTTGTGCCAGCACACCCAGGGCTGCTAGGCTCTGCCACCAGCTGTGCTGTGAGCTGTCTGCCCGGTCTCCAACAGATTGCTTTAGCCTTGTCAAAAGTAGTTGTGGTGTTTTTAAGCCCATACTTGAGCCTTTAACTCCCTGCTGAATCTCAGATGTTGTACTGTATTACAATACAATATTGTATTGTAATAAATGTATATTGTATATATTGTAATAAATGTATATTGTATAATTGTATATTGTATTGTAATGTTGTATTGTATTACAATACAACTGCAAGGTATTTTTGAAGCCAATGGGTTCTCAGTCTGGCTGTGTCTTTCAGGATTAGTCAGGTACATAGATCCCCTCCATTTGGCAAGTTAGTGGGAAGAACGCAAAATTCCCAGCTACCACTTGAAAATGTTAACACTGTTGAAAATACTTTGCAGATATTTGTGAATCTCACATTATATTTATGAACTGCTTTGAGCAATAGGTCATATTTTACTTCAGAACAGTTGGCATTTCATTTTTGAGTCACACGTAAAGACATTCTCCATTTGTGCCTTCACAGTGCTGTCCTTAAGGACTCATTTCAGTATTGCCAAACCAAATCACTGGAGAAATTAGAACTCAGGCCTCCAATAATACTTTAGAATTCATGAGGTAACTGTAAATAGGAATCAACCTTGCACCATATTAATTTATCTTGTGAGTATCATGTTAAAAAGGTTTCAGAATGTTCTGGCTTTTCTCTGCAAGTCCACTAAGAACTGAACTTTTATGTGAAAATTTAGATCCTTAGGAAATCAGAGCTTCCCTGGGAGTGACGCTTCACAGGAAACAAGATATCTAAGGGGCCATGATGAACTCAGAAGTGTGGCAATGAACCAAAGCTGCTTCATGGCGTCAGCTTTCTAAGTGATACAGAAGGACCAGGACCTACCACCGCCCTCCTGTCTGCGTGGTTTGCATGACAGATTTGACAGTCTGGTGGCAAACAACTGCAGACCAACTCACATGAACTTGTACAAGAAGGTAAAGGACAGAAACACTCGGTAAGAGACCAACCACTGCATTTCTGACCCCTCACTCCTGACCTTCAAGGAAGGTATCCGATGGTGATTCCAAAGACAATCTGAGACTAAAATGCCTGACTCTAAGATATAAAAGTCACACAGATACTGACTGCATATTACGTTACAGTTTTTGCTACCACCAGCCATCCCTAGGCAATAAATATTCCTGTCTTCTGTCTCTCTTGCTCTCTCTTTGTGCCATAAGTGACATTATCAGCTGTCCTCTGGTTAGTATCCTCCCTTTGATCAACAGGAACCCATCACCCCTTCTCACAAATTGCCTAATTCATTAATACGATGAAGTTTAACTCAGAACAATTATTCTCAACCTGCATTTAGCTCTAAGGTTATTGCTTCTATTTCAGACCTAAGGAAGCCTTATGTGCCTGAAAGCATGTGTAGTTTCTCCAAGTACACCAGCTGACCTAATAAACGGTGTGCCCTCTCCCTGCCCTTGCCTGACTTACGTCTTGCACTGCCCTCACTACAACATGTCTGCTGCACTGCTGTGCTTGTTCCCATTCAGCTGAGTCTACAAATCAAGGCATAGCCTTGATGAGCTACTAGGGAGGTACTCTGCTAGCCCAGTTAGTAGGAGCCAAGCTTAGGCATCACGTGGAGGAGATGCTCCATCTGCCAAGCCATCATCCCACCTTGTCTGGGATTGCCTTGCTTGTGGCATGTTGCTGTGGCCGGTGGGAGATAAGCAAAGTTGCTGGTGACACTGGAGACCTGTGAGCAAGGCTGCCTTGACGGCCACCTCAGGACGTGTTTGTGGATGATGAACTTTCGGAGGTCGGTACGGTTGTCTTTCCTTTTTTGCTTGGTGTCTCTGTGGTTTTAAGAGCGCAGCATTTGGCAGAGCTTAGCTGCCGGAGCCCAGATCAGTTAAATTTAGTGTCTGACCTCATCTTTACCAATCAATCCATTTTTCAGTGTTCTGATGTATGGACTCTCTCTTTCCTTGCTAAGTCTTTGAAAATCCTAGGTTACCCCTACTGATTTATCTTTCCATTTTCCTTCAAGGTCTTCCTTAATACTTGCTTTTCCTTCCCAAACCGAGCCACTCTCCCCCTTCTGCTTGTTTGAGGTCTGTGCCTCACCTGTATAATTTGCAGTGTATTATCCAATGGAGACTGTAATCTCTTCAGGGCAGGGCTGTGTCCCTCCCCAGACTCACAGTTGCCTGTTTTATTTTATAAGGTTGAATACGAAGGACAGAGATACAGGAGTATACAGGCACTCCCAAGTAATACCCACTGTGTATTTTGTGATCTCTGTGCACAAAACAAATGCAGGAACAATTGTTATTAGTAACATGGTTTACATTGTACCACGGGAGCCTTGAGAAGAAGTAGAGGCTTTAGGCAAAGCAGCTTCCTTTACAAAACACTTGTGGAACATATTTATCTAAAAATACACATACTTGTGGTAGAGAATGATGTTCCTCTGCTGATCTATAGTTAATTGTCAATGGCAACACGGGACTTTTAAATCTTGTAAACAATCCTGCTGTAGTAATATCATCTGCTTTATCCTTTCCTTCTTTGCAGCATCCTAAAGCCCTTCCCAGGCTGATTTCCATGGCCTCTGTTGCTGTTGAAAGAGTCCTGCTCACTTGGCTCTACCACTGTGCCCACAGAGGCTCAGAAAAGGAAAACGGATGGGGAGGAGGATGACCCTGTTCAGCTGCAGCAGAGGTAAGTGTGGGGAGAGCAACCTGAACTGTGCAGGACAGGCGTCTGCCTTCAGCGCTCACTGTAAATGTTCCTCTGCACAGAGGCGCTGTGGGTAATATGCGGTTAATAGTGCATTCTCAAGTGCATTTTGGGCTGAGATCTCCAATGAGCTTGGCTTTCTGATGCCTGCACAAATGGACTCCACATACTTAAATGTCTGCCTGACGGAATTAGAAAATGAGTGATGTGTAAGAGGAGATGGGGATGGGGGAGGCTGACTTTGAGACGACTCCAAAAGCCAGACTGGGTAGAGCTAGCATTTTGACTTTGCCTATTTTCCAGCCTGGGGGCCATCCAGCCTGACCTTGCCACTGAAGGCATTGCTGTGGGGTGGCAACTGGCCCATTCCCTCTCCTGACACGTGTGTTTCCTCGAACAAAAGGCTCATTCCAGCTGGGAATGCTACAGCCGGGCTCTTAACGTTGTCCGGTTCCCAGCTGCTTTTTGGAAAGAGCAACTGTGTTCAAGTGCCCGCCTTTGAGTCACCTCAGTGGGGCACTGTCATCTTGGATAGTTCAGTCGTTATTATCTTGGATAGTTCAGGCTTTTGTCATATATAAAAAAGACACCTGTATTATTTGCAAGCAGTTAGTCATCTGCTGGCCACAGTGGGCTTGTTTTCCTTACAGATGTTTAGGATCACATCACTGTTACAGGCAGAGGGGAAAAATGTCTGTAGATGTTCGGATTAGTCACATAACTGCTGCAGTTATCTTCATTCAGAGCCTTTTCTTTCACTCCCAGTTAGAACTCCTGAACTTGAGGGCTGTATCCAATCTCCAGCCTTTCCCATAATGACATTTACCTGGGCAGGCTGAAAGACAAAAGGGAGCTCAGGCTTTTATAACCTTTAGCCAGTTTTTTCTTTACTTGGTTTACTTTTCATAACCACTTACTAAATCATGCAGTGGAGAGTGGGGAAGGAAAGTCTGTGACCTGCTCACCATGCTTGCCTGCTCCTGGCTTCCAGCAGTGGTTCTGATTTCTCTGGCCTCCACTCCCCATCAGCATGAGGTATAATGCCGTTTCTCTGCCTTGCAGAGGAGCTGTGGGGTTTTCTCCTTGCTTGAGAGGCCTGGGTGACCCTGGGGTATGATACCACAACTGTCCTAACACACCTCCTAGTCAACAGCTGACTTTTATCCTTAGAACAGGCCCATGTGTTATCGCTGTCCCTGGCGTTGAGGTGGGGATGGAGCAGAAGAGAGGTGGAGGAGCAGTCAGCCTTCCCCTGTGGAGCCAGGAACGAGGTGAGCCATGGACTTTGGCACCATGAAGGTTGGCCTTATTCTCCTGTGAAATGCGTGATCCCTCCCACAGCACAGGGAAAGAGAAAGTATTATTTGCTTTCCATCCATTCAATACCCTCTGCTTCATCAGGATGTGCTTAAACTGGGGACAACTGCTTTAGGGGATGTTTTTAAAGGAGCTGATGCTGAGTGGGACTGAATGGCAGTGGCTGTCAGTTCATGTAGAAAGAGGCATGAATCCTTCTTTGCTGGGGATGACTGGAGCTGTGCAGTGCCCACAGCAAAGATGCGTGACACTCAATAGTTTCCTAGCAGTTTGGGATAAGCCAAAGTCAAGACAAAATGAAGGAAAACTGGAAATTGGTCTCTATTACTTGTAACTCTTTGAAGTCCTCTTAGAAGCGGACCCCAAAAGGCCACCAAAAGTCAATGGATTTATCCCGATGGTCCCTGTGTGGTGCAGTCAGCCCAGGGCGAAGGGTCTGTGCTGGGTGCTTTGCTGCTGCAGGTGTTGTTTGCATTTCAGAGGTCAGGTTCTGGGAGGCCACTTGCAGAGCAAATGCCTTTGCTGTGCACGTAGTCCTCATGAACTGGAAGAACCTGAAGTACTGGTAAAAAGGGGACCCTGCAGCCAGCTCCTGCCAGGATTCACTCGGGGATCCTTCCTTCCTTGTCCCTTCCAGAAATGAACTAACATTAGCTGGGAGGTGCCTTTCTAACGTGGCAGCTGGCCCACAAGGCTGTGCTGAGGCACGGCTGGGTCTAGGATGCACTAAAAATATAGGTGACAAATGCAAACATTGACTTTTGCTGGGGTGGAAGTGTGTCTGCGAGACGTGCCAGCGGGGCGGCCAGTGGTGCTGGGTGCTGTGGGTGCCAGCGGGGACACGTGCTCCGCATCTTGGTTGCTGTCTGTTGTGTCTTTTAAAGCAGTGATTTCAAATTGTAACAGCTTCACACGTTAAAATTGCAGCTTCTCCCTCATTGTGTTGTGGTCAATGTGTTTCAACAGGTAGAGGAGGAAACTGGAAGGGGGGAAATAAGGAAAGGAAGAAGGAGGAAGGACGTATGGAAGGGGAAATGCCTCCACCCCCTCCCTGCTTCGTTTCATTTTGAGGTTTAAAAGCAAACCTAAGAATTCAGAAGGAGGTGCCCTGAGCCCCTGCTTGTGGCCAAAGGCAGGGCTCTGCTCCTGGTGCGGCCTCCTTGTGTGCCCGGAGCAGGGGACAGGGCAAGGTGACACAGGCGGGTGCCACGTCAGCAGCCAGCACGCTCCTGCCTGTGGCTGCCAACAAAGGTGGCCATTGAGAGCCTGCCCTCAGCGACTGTGCTGTGGGAACGGGGCTGAAACCACCGGCGTGGTGCTGTGCAGGCAGCTGAGGAGCCACGTGAGCTCATCATCTCCTCCTCTTCCTCCTCCTCCTCTCCAGCACAAGGTCTCCAGGGTGTCTGCGTTGCAGGCTGTGTGGTAGTGAGAGAGCTGGGTGGAAATGGGCTCCCCCGGGTGAATGAGCAATACCCACCCAAGCACCCACAAAGCAAACGATGTGCTTTTCCCCAGCCCATTGACTGGGTTTGTCAGTTGAGGATGCAACAGCAGAATAAGGGGAAACGGAGCTTTTTATTCCTCTCCTTGCTAATTCCAGCCTGTGTGCGGCTCCAGCAGGAATGAGGGTATTATTTTTGTTTCAAGGCATTTCTGCTCCAGAGCATAAAGTTACTCAGCATTTGCAGGACCAGGTCATGGTGGGTATTTTTATGCCGTGTCTATTTTGCTCTGCCTCAGACTGACCCATTACTGATGCTTCCAGTGAGCAGGGGGTGAACACAGACAGTGCTTTGCTTGTACTTTGCAAATCAAAAGAGTTTTAGTTCTGTTTGCAAAAATGTATTCATGTTCAGATGTTCTTTGTGCAGAACTGAAAGCACCTGAACCCCTGCCAGGGAAGGTTTGGTGAGCAGAGAGTGTAGGAGCCTGGCTACCCCATCTTGTATAAACACACTGGTGTTTTTGGAAGCAGACCTAGAGGAGTTTGCAAATGCATTTATTTAAGCAGCCCAGCTGCTCCTACCAATAATGGATTCACAGGCTAATTGTGTATTTACTCAGCTCACAGGCCACTGAGTTTTACATGTTACATGATTTGCACAGATCGATGAGTAGCGTAGACATACAAGCTCACATCTGGAACACATGAGCCGTGAAGAAGGGATTTGCACAGTGACCCAGTTAGCACCTAGCAGCATCTGGATCTTCAAATCTGGTATTTGTCTTTCTTTTCTTGCAATGAACTGTTAGATGCTATAAGGCAGATTGCAGCAGTGCCCATTTCATAGGGCTGCATGACTCCTTCAGGATGCAGCTACCCAAAGAGCGAGGCTTGGGGCTGCTTCACTTCCCTGGCTGGCTAAGAAGGAAAACTCCATATGACCATAGCACAGCTGGATTGGGGACCTGCCCCACTCCCTGCTTTGTCAGGTACATGGAGATGCATTTAAATTCTAGCTATGAAAAAGTAGAGAAAAGAAATCTTTAGCCAGAAAAACTAGACCCTTGTATGGGACATACGGAACAGAAGCAAACCCAAGGTCCTATGTAGAAGTACCCTTCTGAGCCCTTCAGGGTGTCTGAATCATAGGATCATAGAATGGTTTGGGCTGGAAAGGACCTTAAGGTTCCAACCCCCTGCCATGGGCAGGGTTGCTTCACACTAGCCCATGCCACCCAAGGCTCTGTCCAACCTGGCCTGGGGTCCCTGTTTCTAGTTATGTGTCCGTCTCCCACCGCTTCCTCCTCTGATGATCCCTGAGGCTCTAGAAGCCCCCCTTCTTGCCAGAATCCTTTCTACAAGCAGCACTTTTCCCACCCGGCTCAGGAATGCTTGCAGAATGCAATCTCAGATGCTCGGGCATGAGCGTTTGCCCTGGAGCTTGATTTAAGGAGCTGTGCTCGCCCAGCAAAATCAGGCGCTGTTCCTGCGATACGCTCGCTTGAGCAGCCTGGTGAGAAAAGTGGAGGCCAGGAACTTAAATTCTATGACCTTGTAATGGCCAGAGGCTCAAACCCGTGATGGAAGCCTCACTGGCCAAGGCAATTACTAAAAACATGAGGAAGGAAAAAACCCCACAGCCCCCAAACCTGTCCTGTCTCCAGATTGCCAACTGAACAACCTGTGAGCTGCTATAATTCTGCAAAAGATGCTCTCAGGAGTGGTTTTTACAGTGAAAACGGCCATAAATAATGATAAAAAAATGCATGTGTGTGTATTTTACAAAGCAAGGGGAAAAATTCCGTCCTCTTCAAGCCCATGGTCTGTGAATAATTTGTGAACAAGAGAAGCAGCTCCATCTATCTTGCACAGTGTTTGTTACAAATCATTTGCTCAGGTGTAAATCTTCCTGCCAGGGTGGGAGCAGCAAATCCTCCTTCAATTTTGGTCTGCTAAAAAACTTCCATAGCTAAACAAGAGAAACTGAATCGGCAGGTAACACATTTAGAAAGGCATCGTGGGATGGATTTATTCCTGGTGCCCATGATAGAGTTGCTGGGTGATGGTCCTTATGAGTGGTGATGGTCCTTATGAGGCTGGGGGTGGCTGTGGGGCAGGATTCCTGGCTGGCACACATTGCTGAGCCACAGAGGCTTTTGCAGGCAAACAAAAGCCAAGCCAAAAAAAAACATCCCCAAAACCCACTTCCCTCCCAGAACATCCTCAGTGAGCAAGCAAAGAGCTGCTACCCAAGGGAAATGCATCAGAGCATCCCATCTCTTTTTAATGCTCATGGAGAGTCCCTAGGTGACAACCCTGCTCCTCCTGACCCTCCTGTGAGTCTCATCAGGATTGATGGAGCTCCAAAAACTCCTGCTTTGGAGATTCTGTGGCTAAGTGAGGCCTTAAACTTCCATTCACAAATCAAAGTGAGAATAACAGTTTAATGCTGGTGGTGGCAAAGGGACGTGTAAGCCTGGGATCGCTGACAGGCTCTGCCATCTGAAGGCAGATGAAAAGGGTGATCGCAACACTCAAGAATTTATTTATTTAAAAGCTATAACAAGGTTCCAAAGTGATGCTGGGAGATGGGACTCATGGTACCTAAATGCTCCTGTTTGCCAGCACGCTTAGAGTTCGCTGGGACTGATAGGCCAACAAGTAGGGGTTGCAGAAAGGTGGTTCAGCCCTTCCAGCCTCTACAGCCAAGACCAAGGATGTTCCACTGGGCAGAGGCACCGAGGGACCACTTGCTCTGTCCCATCACCCATCTGTTTGGACTGTATGCTCCACACAGGTGAGTTGCAGCTCTCCATCACTGTTTGCAAAGTGTGGCCCCTTCTAGGCAGCCCCATAATACAAACACATTAAGTAAAGCCAAGCACAGATGTGGGCTGGATGGTAGAGGAGAAAAATGCCCATCACGGTATTTTCAGCACCATCAGAGACCCGATGGATAAGGGGATTTTGATGTAAGTCCTGTTATCACACCTGATAGATGAGTAGATCTGAGAAAGTCATTAACTTTTTCCCTTTTAATCTATGTTTTTTCTCTGCTGACTCTGGTCAAACCTGCTGTATCCACACCCATCCCCTCCAGTGCTATGGCTCCTGTCCCTCCTTCCCCAAAATGCCAAGCCAACTGATAAAAGCAGCGGTTCCATTATGTCAGAGATAAGATCCTTTTGCCCATCTCTTGATGAGATGACTTTTGGAGTGAGCTAGCACAGTAAAAATTGTGAATTGCAAATAATATAATCAAATCTACAATTGGAGTTTCGTCCTGAGTTAATTACCTGAGCACTGTACATCTGTTAGCTACAACAAATCACAGCAGAAATGGAGAATCTGATTGCAATATTCACTTTTGGGATGATCTGCAGGTCAAGTATTATTCACTGAAGAGATTCATGAATAATTCTGAATAACTGGACCAATATATTTAGAAACTGTGCAATCTGCAAACAGGGAGAGGAAAAAGCCTCAAATAAATTATACATTGTGCCTTTTTCCTGCAGCTCTGGAAATGGATTTGATTGCCTTATCACACGCCCTGCTATGTCTATTTTTTTCCCCCCGATAAACCCCAAAATCTCTCCTGATAAATTACTAACCCAACAAGGATTAAATCAGTCGAACAGAACCAGTCATCCTGCTCATAGCGAGCTGCTTTCCACTTGGAAAATCTAACTCGTTCAGCCACGTGTGTGTGAAGCAGTTTGATTAACTGGGGCGAGGCGAATCTAACCCCAACCGGAGGATGCTGCGCTTCAAAAGGCGAAGTAACCCAGGAGCAGGATCGCTGCCTGCGAGGTCCCCAATCCGTGATGCCACACGCCACCTCGTGTCGGGCGCAGGGAGTAGCTGGGTGCTCCTGCCCCAATTTCCAGCCATCTGACATCATTTCAGGGCTGGGGGGGCAGTTTTGCTTGGTTTTCTTTCTTTGCACCCTTTGGGAGCGTGGGGAACCCCTTGGGTCCTCCATGGTGCTGTTATTGCACGTTGGGTACCGGTGCTTGATTTGGCTCATGTAATTGAATTACACGTTGGATGGAGAACATGACCCTGCCTGTTTGTGTGGTGAGTCCTGCTAAGGACAGTGGGATCTCCTCTGCCCCGCTGCTGTGTATAATATCCTGCTTGTACCTTGCTTTCTGTCCAGGCATGGAGTGACTTGGTCAAGGCCAACCTTGGAGTCATTACCGGATGGAGCTTTGTGATTCCCAAGCACCGTAGACGCAGGACCTGGAAGCGCCTTTTAAAAAGACTCCAGGCTCCAGATTTGGAAGGATTTGTGCCTGTGACCGTTGTCCTTCCTGCAGCACCAGCGTGTGCTTGTGGAGACAGATGGAGGTAAGGTTCCTGTTTTGACAAGATTTGACTTTATGGGGTTGGGATGTGGCTGAGATTTTTCCAGTGATCTGAGGAGCAAATCTCTCATAGCAAGTAGCATTTTTATAGCAAGGTAGTAACCAGCCCGGTCTGAGCATGGTGTGCAAGTGCTGCTGGGTTTCTTGGATGTCCGTAGGCTTTTGTGCTTGTAAATGGGAGTGTTGCAAGTTGTCAAGCTGCTGATGCTGTTCTGAGAGGTGTGATGTGCAGGGCCTGCTCAGAGGGCTGCCTGCATGCTGGGGGCAGGCTGGGCTGGCAGGCCTGGTCAGATCCATGTGAGAATGGACCAAATGGGAACAGCTTGTTTGAAGCTATCATAGGAATGCACAGCTAGGACTTGCTTTCCCCCCTGATGCATATATTAATCAATATTGCATTTCATCTGCTGTTTTACCATCCTGACACTTGGTATTACAATGCCCGTCTAGAGCTCCTTACAATCAGCTTGTGGTTTTGCAGCCCTAAATAACTTGATCTCAGCAACAAGCTTTGTAACCCATCCCTCTTCCAGACCATCTGCCTCAGGCAGCCCAGAGCCTTGCACAGGTCCCCTGGGATGCTGCCGATGACTTCCCTCCATTGTGAGAACTGACCTTTTGGTCTCACCCTTTCTTTCCGATGTTTTGACCGGTTGTTGGCTCAAGGGGCTGCCTTACCTCTCCCAGCAGGACAGCTAGATGTCTTCAAAAGCCTTGGGTGAGGAAGTTACTCTGAGGCCTTGATCCAAGTCAGCTCTATCAGCTGGACCATCTCTGTCCTCATGATTGCTTCAGAGAAAGTTCAGTGTTTGGGAGCATCACTTCCCTCTGTTAAAGGCCACGGGCTCTTTCCATCGTATTTATCATTCAGCTGTGACTTTTATCCTCTATTACGGTTTCTACCAGACGTGCAAGGCTTTCATATCCAGCTCCTAGGAGCCCTTTTCTAAAATTAGCCCCATGTTTTCCACCTCTGGTCCTGCCACAGACTGAAGCAAAGGTTATCCACTGCAGTTAATGGTTAAGCGATTTTTCATGTGAGCACTTTTACCCTTGGGTGAATACGATCTCATCCTGGGTATTTATTACTGTTGGGTTGCTATTTATTTCAAGCGGTAGAGGAAGTCATGTCCTTTACATGTGTTACAATACTCCCCCCTTGGTTTGGGTGTGTTAGGAATGGAGGGAAGGAGGAAGAGAAGGCACAAACCCCTTTATGGGTAGTGCCTTTTCATGCCAGTTGATCCAGTCCAACGACCGTGTTTTCATGCCAGGTTAAGGTGAAACAATGCTCCCCCTCCTCCCTCTAAAGGAATCTTTTCCTCTTTCTCTTTTCTCCAGCCTCTTCCTTTCCTCCTGCATTTCTTCCCATCACTGGGACATACGAGAGTGGGTCAGAAAACACCAAAATCCAAGAGTTTCCTGACTTTGAACCACCTAACAGCCTTCGGAAGACTTTCCATTTGCTTTTTAAACACTCAGGCCTGACTATCACATCATGTGCCCAGCCATAAATAGCTGTGAATTAAACAGGCTGCACTGCTTTTTTGGCTAATAGATATGTCCACTAGTGCTGCAGCTTTATCTTCACATCCCACCGGTGTTTGCGTTGTAGATCAGCAGCTCCAGCTGACTTCTGCTTTTCTTCTTCAAGATTTAAAGAGCTGGAAGGACGCTTATTCAGCTGCACAAGCTCCATTCAGGGTGTTTCTCAGGTCCTGGCCATGGGGCTCATTTTTTGTCCTTTGACAGCCTCTGTAAATCAATAAGGCAGCTGGAGGTCACTTGTAGTCAATCAGTAACAAGTGCTGGCCAAGGGGAAAACACTAAATATTTGGTCTAAAAACACTGGTTCTCACTCTGGGTGATGTTTTCCCAGCCCTGCCTTTGGAAACCTGGCTCTGTGCAGAAACCCAGCCCGGCCATGGTCTCCTCCTGGTAATCACCTGCACGGGGAATGTCACAGCACGTGCACACCGCCTGAATCACAGCAGCCCAGGGTGCAGCGTGCTTTGGGTGGAGGAAGTGGGTCTTGTGGTGCGAGGTCCTAATTTGGTGCCAGCTGAATTACCCATCCTTACGAAGGGAGTCATTCGGTGCTGGCTGAGCCCGTGCATGACCTTCATCAGCCACCTCCTTCAGGAACCAAGACCCATGGCCAGGTAGTAATTCTCGCAGGGGTCCCTAATTCCTTTTGAAACAACTGGGAACTAAGCTCTTAAATACCTTTGCTGCCTGAATCATATTCCAGTGGCGTCATCACCTCTGTTTGCTCCTAGCTCTGGAGCTGGATGCCTATAAAATCTTCTGCCTGACCTCACCTCACGGCCCTGCAATGAGAACACCCTCGGTTCCCTCTTCCCTTTGACCTCAGCTGCTCTGGGCTTTGCAGTGATGCAGGATCCTATCTCTGAGTAATCATGCAGCCATCTCTCCACATGTGCTCATGGGGGGCCCTCATGCCCTGCACCACCAGCTGTATAAATGCATCAGGCTCTATATGTAGTCTGGACGTGCTCTAACAGTCTGGGCAAGCCATCACTTTTTCAGTGCTATTTTTCCCCCCTGTTAATAGAGCTGGGCTGTGCAGTTTGCACAATAACCTGTGACTCATTTTTGGATCCATATGCTGGTTTCCATTGAGATTTAGCTGCAGGGTTTGCAGATTTATATGTTGCACGTTACATCTTCACTGCAAACTGGGAGATGGGCACGTTGTGCTGCGCTCTCCATCTGCCTCCCAGAAGTGTCCATGGCATCCATCCCCGAGCCCTGGGGAGTTCCTGCAGGTCTTGGACCTGGCTGTCTTGGGTCTGCTCCCTTGCTGCTTCCCTGGCCAGTGTCTGCACACAGAGGAGAGCTTTGAGAGTGGCCACTGGCCACAGCCACATGGAGCTGGCATCCTTCCTCCAGCTCTTCCTCAGAGCCTCACACAGGCACTCCTGCTCCTTCCCACCCTGCTGCTGTGCAAGGAGAGGAGTCAATCAGGCTTTCCTGTGTCTCTGCCTTGCACACATTTAATACAAACTTTAAACGCTGGCGTTGCCTCCCAGCTTTCTGACAACCTAGAGAGATGTGCCCAGACAGCAGGGTGGAAAACCGAGTGCGTGAGCAACACAAAAGGGATTTTCTGATCAGGAGCTGCATGCAAGCACCTATTAGGCTTGCAAAGGCTTTAACAACATCCTCCAGTGCTTGCCCTGTGCGTAGATTTTCCTCAGGCGGGCTGACTGGTCAGACTTGAATTTTAGGCTTCTTAAGGATTTAATAAGAGGCTGAACTGAAATGCTAGCTTTGAGTGGAGAGCTACATTCCTCAAGGTCAGAAGGTGGAGAGGGTTAGTCCTGTGCCATGGGGACGTGCGGTGCTCCCAGGATGGCCCAGTGAGCAGGCAGGGGGATGCCCATTGCACTTCTGCAGTGCCATCCTACAGGCACCACAGGGCTCAGAACCCACGGGCTTGGGTGGGAGCTACATGAGTGTGGCTGTTCTGTGTCTGGGAGCTGGGCTGGCAATTCAGTGTCCTTCTTCCACTGCACCACATTGGAAAACTGACCCAAAACGTTCCCCATGCAAGGAAGTCCTTGCACACCAGAACTGCAGCGTGCTTAAGAGTGCAGTGAGCATGCATGCTTAGTTCCCACGGGTTCCAACCAGGAGTAAAAGCTAAGATGGCATTTTAGACCCCAGGTTTAAGCACTGTAACATGCTAGCTGGAGGAGCAATGAATCGTTTGCTTCCTCCTCTCAGCTACGTTTGCATCCCAGCTCTTCTGGAACAACTGGGTACATGTCTCCCGAGTCCCTCCAGCCCTCCCACACTTGCAAAATCCCTTAGCTTTTTTGGGGAAAAAAAGAGCCATATAAAGCCAGTCTTTATTACACCACTCTCCAATGCTGCTGTGTTAAAAGGATGGCAGGAACATGCCACTTCCTACGGCTCGCTTGCAAAATGACAGATGAGCCATCGGAACAGCAGCGCTTGTCACAGCCAGGGATGATCCGGCTGAGGTGCCAACTGCTTCAGAGGGCAGCTCCCAGTGGTCTTCACAAGGACGTGCACAAGCAGCATGGATCTTTAGCTGGAGTTTTCCTCCCATAGGAAAGGTACAACTGAAACCCAAGCGGGTGTTTTCTTGCTCAGCAAATCCGATCCGGGCTCCCCTCCCTCCCACCCAGCTTCTGAAGTTCTACAAATAACTGGAGTTTTAGAGCATTTTGGGCATAACCCAAGGCCAGACCACTGGGAGAGAGGAACCCACTTCTCCATCACGCTGTGGTCTTTGTCCATGGGTCAGCTGCCAGTGCAGGGCATGGAAAGCCTTCACAGGAACCAGAGCTGGACTTACATTCAATGCTGTTACCCTCGCTTTCTCCCTTGAACAGCAAAATCCCCACCATGCACAGACTTTAGGGGCTTTAGAGCCTCACACATCATGCTGAAGGCCAGCATCTGCTTTTTCAATCTCTTTCCTTTATCGTACCAAGCCCCAACACATGTCTGCATCCCCAGCACTGGGCACCAACCCATGATGCGAGCCCGTTAGATGGCACCCTGGGGTAGTGCTCGCTGCACCTTCCTTCCTCTCACCCAGACGTGTCTTGACACTGGTCCAGCCTTGAGCTGGCCTTTTGTGCGAGGCAGAAAGCTCTGGGCACTGCCGTAGTAACTCGCTGCGCCCACCGAACACAGAGCAACGGTAAGGCTCGCCATGCCACGCTCGCCCCTCTTCGCTGCAGGGTCAGTCCTCAGCAGGGATTTTCCAGGATCCGCCTTTTCTTTATTTAAGGATTTCTGCATAGGCAAATGTTACACTGCTGGGGGCACACAAAGGTTAAAATGATCGGTCCTATGTGTATGCACACGCTCACTCCCACAGCCCCTGCTGCTGTTCTTGGGGTATTTAAACGTATGCGTATACACAGTGGGCTGGAGGGAAATGTTTGCTGTGGTTTGAAGGAGGGCTCTGACAGGGGCTCACTGATGAATGCCTCTAAAGAGTGTCCCCTCTGTGTGTCTGTGTCTGCGCAGTTCAGTTTCAGCAGCTCTGTGTCTGTGTAACACAGTCTGCAGAGCGCGTATTGCCCTTTGAATTCTGTTCTGACTCCTCTTGCTTTACTCCTTTGCCTACAAAAGGATTTCTAATGAAAATAAGCAATACATTGCTGCACGAGCTCAGGTATAAAGGGTTTTCACAAGCAGGACAACTGGCAGCACACTGCCATCCTTCTGCCTTGGATTTTTTGTGATAGAGAATATACTGATTAAAGCAAAAACAGGGAAGTGCAATGCGATGAGGGTGTTTGCTGACCTTGCTCTGATGACTGAAAAGTCATTTCAGGGTGCAAATGTGCCTTGAGCTTCTACAGGGACCTGTTGTGCTGGGCGTAGGATCAAGGGAGATTTTCATCCAGTAGGGATTGTGAGATAGGTAGTAGTTGCCATTTAAAAACGAGGTGCGTTCCAAAGAAAACAGCTAGGAAGATTTCAGTTACAAGAAGCAAATTCATAATGCGTGGATTGGTTAAATGTGCACAGTTGTAAATACAGACAATAATTTACAAGCTTTTCTCTTGAGACACTAGTGCTGCTATAAGGAGACAAGCATGTGACTTACTTATAAAGACTTACCATAGCATTTCCATACTGTAAATGAGCCTGATTAGGTTGACATTAGCTATTACTTGAGCTGCGTTCCAATTAGCTAAACAAATGCTATGAATTCCGTCATTTCTGATGGAAGCTACACAAAACTTGTCTAATTACCGCAGTGAGTCATCTAGTTAAATGGTACTTCTATATGGACAAATTGATTTCAATGCGAGATTAATAGCCCTTTGCTGCTGTTTTACGTGCTTGCCAAAGACCATACTACATTGTTGCTAAGCATCATTAATGGATTAAAAGAAAGGTTCTGCATAATTCCTACAGTGGATCTTCAAGCAGCTTGTTTAGTTCGTGCTCTAGCCTAGCGCTTGTTAGCCCTACGTAACACATGGGTCTGGGAGGCTGCCACGTGTGAAGGAGGTTAATGCAATCCCAGGAACTCTTTCAAAAGCTCACAGGTTTTCTTATGGATGACTTCGCGGAGCTTCCGCACGCGCCGGACGCTGGAGGTGCCCACAAAGCTGTCTGGCTGCAGGACAGCCATGCCGTTGTGGACATCTCCCATGATGATGAGCTGGCCATCCACCGTGGTCATGTTGGGACATGGGCAGCTCCAGTCCATGTTCAAAAGGGTGATTTCTAAGGGTTCTTTCCCCAGGAATTTTAATCCCATTTTTTCATCTTTGAGAATCTCCTCCACTGTCACCAGGGCATGTCCTGAGTCTTGGTCTTCCGTCAGCTCTGTTATCCGGCCCAGGATAACAAAATCACTTTTGCAGAAGCTGGTCACCAGCTTCTGGCGTGGTTTGCAAGCTTTGCAGTGCGTGTTCTTTGGGAAAGGGCACATCTCTTCACAGGCCTCCCGGCTCTCAAAGTTGTTCTCATTGCCTCCACACCCGCCGTAGATGAAGGACTGGCACTGTTTCGTCAAGCTGTTGTAGGCCCATCGGGGCTCATAGGCTTTGCAGTGCCCTTGGAGGGCTGGCAGGTTGCAGATGTTGATGGGGCCGTTCATGCACGTTAACATACAGTTCTCGTAGGTCTCAAAGTGGTTGAGGTTGCTGTTACAGTTCCCATAGATGAAAGTAAAGCAGTTGTTTTTCTTTGCATCATAGTACCACCTGGTCTGCTCTTCCCCACAGTCTTCGCTGTCCGGTTGCTTCAGGCACTCATCGGTTGGAAAATGTGTTTTGTTTTGGGAAGCTTCTTTGGATGTGGGTTCCCCTTTGATGACTGACAAAGGGAAATCAGCCCTGAGAAGACCACCGCTGTTCTGGGCAGTGCAGGTATAGATGCCAGCGTCTTGGAGCTGGGTGTTGTAGATGACCAGCTGGGCGATGTTGGTGACCACAACGTTCCCTCTGACGTGATTTGGTTTCATGATGACTTTGTCTTTCCCGTCGACCTGCTTCTCCCACGTGATTTCTGGCTTGGGTCTCCCTGTAACGTCACAGAGGAAGCTGACGGTCTCTCCCACATAGACAGACTGATGGATGGGGTTGTTCACCAGAGCAGGGGGCAAGATATCAATGACTGTTGTCTCGGAATAGGTAGTAGTAGGGCGAGCTGTTGTTTCTGGTGGGATAGGGCTGGTGTTTGGCCAGGTAAGATGGTACCTACAGGTGACTACGTTCAGTGTAATGCCTTTGATGCAAGCTTCTGCATCCATGTAGCACTTGTTATAGTAGGTGAGCCCGTCAGAGGCACAGGTGAAGCTCGGCTCCTTCTCACACCTATCCTTGCACTTGCAGACGGGTTGCCCATCCCAGATATCACACTCTGAGCCTTGCTGGATGCACATGAAACGGTCACAAGTTGCCTCCTTGGGCATTCCCACCGGCCCTTTTTTCCCCTTGACGTCCATGTACCGAGCTGCCACGCAACTCTTAGTTCCACATACATTGGGGCAGCACTTCTCAAAGGTCTCACACTCCTGTGGGGAAAGAAGACAGCCCAGTCATTACTAGGGGCAGAGCAAAGTCCTTTTTTAGAGACCCAACAATCAGGGAGCCCAGAAACTCCCAAGGTGTTAGCTCAGGGGACCTGGTCTGCCACAGGTATCTGGGGTGTGAAACCCAATATCCCCAGTAATGAATAGAAACATCCCCCCAGCACCTCCTGAGTGGTTTCTAAACACACTGGGGGTCCTGAGTGCTTCAGGAGAAGACTTTTGAGCAGGAAAATGAATTTCTATTTCTTAAACACTAACCTCATCATAACTCTTTCCTAGAGTCACATGGGCTGCTCAACTACTGAACCAACAGCCCCCCTTCTGCACTCTCCCAAATGCCTGAGGACAAGGCCTGAGAAACAAAAGCGGATGGAAAGTCTTATCATATGGCTGTAGGCAGTAATCCTTCTTATTTTCCACAGAAGTATGTAAAGTATTATTTGAATTCCCTGAGACTAACAGCCTACTCTTGGAGGTGAAACTGCCAAGGATTTGCAATTGTTCACATTGTAGAGGAAATAATAGAATATCTCAAAAGTAAGGAAATTCTTGCTCCAAAAATACTTTTTTTCTATGGTATTTAGGAAAACAAACCCAAAACAGCTCATTATGGCTTCTCTGTCCTATTTTAGTCCTATTTTCAAATGCATCATCGCTCTTGTAGTGATTTATTACACCCCATCTCAGCTACAGTCAGCTCTAAATTGCAGTTAATTTTAGCAGAATTCTCATCTTCTGTGCAGAAAAGGTATTTGATACGTGTGATCACAGCTGCTGGGCTGTCATGGATTAAGGGACCACGAACACTGGTACCATGTACCCAACGGGGCACACTTCCACCGTGTGTTAAACCCCTACAACACCCCCGAAACCCAGCGGCTTTCTCCGTAAGTGAGAACAAAATGTTTCTTAAGCTACCAAACCAAAAGCTTCCCCTGAGTCCAGTGTCCTTTCCTTATTGGGAAAAGGATGACCTAATAACGTAACTCTTTCCCCATTTCCAGCTGCACATTGCTGGGTTTCAGAAGCAAAGTCAGAAACCAGAATGGGTAATGTTTTCAGCTGAGGTTGAGGAGCGTGGCTCTTTAGAGTCCTTGGTGCTCACAGACCACTCACTGCAGGCAAGTATTTTTAACCAACGACTTCTGGCTTTCAGTTTTTGACCAGTCAATTATTAAAACATCCTTCCCTGCTCCTACTGCTGGGGTTCTGCAAGTGTTTTTATATCCATTGCTGCACCTGGTAGCTGGAACAGAGGAGGCTTATTTGGGAATGGTGAAAGTAAAAAGAGCACCTTCATTCGCAACACATGGGATCCATCTGAGCAAATGTCTTTGTTTACTTGATGGCCAGCATTTTTCTCTATCATTATTTTTTTTCCTCCACTCCTTTTAGCCTTGCAAAACCAACCTGGCTGTGGAGCATAAACCCAAGGACTTTTTCAGCATGGTACATGTTGCTGGAGCTTTGCTGTTGGACATGAGGTAAGCGGCAGGATGAGCAGGTATTTTCAGATGCCAGCTTGAGCTGGCGGTGCTGACAGGTTGAAAAATGAATCTGGGGGTTGTAAGCTAAGCACATTTTGAGCTGGGAGCATCACAGAGAACATCTGCCTGGTCATTTCAACCGTGCCCCTGTTTTGCACTCCAAGCACGCTTTGTGTTTCAAGTGCAGCAAAGGCTGATGATTTACATGTTAAATCAAACCATTTCATTCAGGATTCCTCCCAGGAGTATAAAGCACTGATGATGGCCACCAACAACAAAGAGCATGGTGACACTGCTAAAATACCATGGACTGGCCCCAGGGCATGCTGAGTTCTGGAGTATCAAATTCAGACCTTTCTTTTGACAAGAAAGCCAGGAAAATGATCAGAGCAAGCGCTGTACCCACATCAGCATAAGTGACAGCAGCCACACAGCTCCCCACCTAACTGATAACTCATCAAACCTTTGCTATTTCATACAGATCACGGGTCAATTAAATACATGCACTGTCTGCATCGAGTCCTGCACGGTGCCGGTGCTTTCCCAATGGGAACAACCCTTCCCATCGGGTGCAAACAGCCCACCACCAGACCCCATCGCCCGCACCACGGAGGTAGAACCGTGCATCACTCACCAGGTCAGCTTCGCACTCTCTCTTGCAAGTGCTCTGCGCGTCCACCCACAGGTTGGGGTTCATGTCATTGGGGCATATCCCAGCGTGGGAATACCGGATCGGAGGTAGAGCTCTCCCTTTCAGAGAGACCTCCAGAAGCAAGAGGACACTGCTCTTCCCCAGCAAGATCCACATCCACCGAGTGAACAGCACCACCAGCATCTCAGAACTTCTCCAGGGCAATGGCAGGGACTGAGCTGGAAGTAGTTCTTGTCTGCCTGGGGCTGCTTTGCTTTGTTTGTAAGCCTTAAATTTTCGAGGAACCCAAATGCACTTGACTTCGGTAAAAACTTCAGCAAGCTCCTTCGCTGCCTCTGCTGATAGTGCAGCGTGGTCTGGACCTCATTGGATTAAAGGTCCTAGGAAGTTACCCCCTTATTTTAAGAGAAACGCTAATAGTCTGAGCAGAGTTAGCTCTATTTATACCCTGCCTCTGTTAACAAGTCAGAAAAAGTAAACTTGATTTCTTTGACAGGCACACGCTTCCTATGTCCTGGTGGCAGTCAGACAGATTTGTTGCAAGAAAAAAAAGCTGGAAAGAGTTCAAAAGGCTGGAACTGGCATGGTGGGACCCCTGCATGTTTCTGAATGCAGGGAGGCCTTCTTAACCCCTTTAGACCTAAAGTACTTCCCTATGCTAAGAATGGCATTTACTTCTGAAAGAGTACTTGTCTAAATAACACGGACCCGCGGGCAGGGGATTTCCCCACGGCGAGGGGCTACACAATCACTTGCTAAAAGGAGCAAGTAATAGGATTGAAGCAATTAAAGCTCGAATATCATATTTTAACAAAGGAAGTGGGGAAGAAATAACCGATTTAAACTCAGGAGCGACAAAGCTGTCGTCTTCACTGCTTCTCCCGGGGCTCCTCCGGGCTTTTTTGCTTCTCTTTGGTGGGGAAGGTTTCCAGGATGCCGAGTTTAATGCTGCCCTCCGAGCCCACCAGCAAGATGTTAAAAGTGTCCCTGAATTCCTCCACATTTCCTGACAGCCAGATCCCATTGTACAGTGCATTGCTGACCCCTTTAACAGCAACGACAAAAAAATAGTACAAGTTCAACTCTATGGAAACCTGCATAAAGGAATGTACAGCATTTTTGCATCGGGGGGCGGGGGGGAAATGCAGTCAAGCTGAGTTCCTCGGTCCCTGATTATTACAGCAAGGGGCTGATCCTGCTCATGCTGAACACATGCCAAAAGCCAGGGACGAGCAGCAGAAGGCAGAGTCGCTCAGCACCTTCCAGGATTAGGGCCTTGGGCTGAGCTCTGGGCTGGCTTGGATGGATCCTGCGTGGTGCTAAGAGCCAGGTGAGTTTGCATCCCACGTGGGGGTACAGCAGGGCCAGACCAGCAGCAACAAGTCTGTGCCCCATGCCCAGTGCTGCAAAGCCAACAGACCCGGGCACAAGCAACCCCTTCAGCAGAGCTTTTCTGTTGTGTTTATTAAAGTGGGGCTGGTTTCATGGCTGAGCCTGGTCCTGATTCTCCCCTCAGTGATGACAGCTCCCAACCAGCACAACCAGAATGAACTGGGCTACATGCAGGCAACACCCCAGAGCCATGGGGCTCCCCAAAGCACAGCAACTGGGAGTTTCCCAAGGATCACCTAGGAAAGGAAAGAAGAGCCTGGACCCAACCTGCCCTCGGCTGTGGCATTACTGCGGCGCCCCAGGCTTGTAGAGGAGTTCTGTGGTTTGTGTGGCCGCGTTAACGATAGGCACCGCAGTTGAATCGCTTGTGACGTGCAGGGAGAAGTTTTCCAAGCGAGTTATTTATAAGGAGCGAAGTCAACCACCAGGCAGCCGCTCCTGCAGCTGATTTATCCTCTCCGAACCTTAGGAAACCTGCACGGCACTCGTACAAAGCAACATGTTTTATTCAGCGCTTGTTTACAAAGGCGAGCGCAGCGCCCTGTGATGCCTCAAAAAGCCGACCAAAAATGACACATTCCCAAGAAGTACTTAAAATTCTTACAGCTCTATTAACAACAAAATCCCATGTGCGAGCGGTTCTGTTGACTAAACAAAGACACTTTATGTGCTAAAACTGACTACAGATCGGCTCTGAAACCAGCTGTATGTGGGTCTCAAAGAGGGTGGCTATCCCGGGTGATGGGATGACCCCAGCAGCTGCTGTACACGCAGGGAATTTGCCCTCGGTCCATGCCTTTGCCACTGTGTAGCTGTGGATGGCGTTTCTCCCTCCCATATGGAGTCTTTTAGGGCTGTTTTACCTCCTTGCCCACTGAGGCAGAGGTAGGGAGCTGGTGAGTCTGTGGGGCTCTTGCAGCCTTTATCTTCTTGTGACAGAGAGCAAGCTTTGGTCATGTTAAGTGAGAGAAGCACCAGTGTGGACACACACTCCATGGGACTCCCTTCCAGGGAGTACAAAATAACACTGTCTTATGTTTTTCCCCTTCCCAGACTAAGGATCCCTTGCCCAGAGGCACATTTCAGCTGCAGGGCAGCAGAGTGAGACTCTAAAGAGTCAAAAACTGGCTTGCATCAGAAACTGTTTTGCATCAACTGCTTTGCTGTGTCCTCCTCCATCCACAGGGGTATTCTCCAGGGACAGGTAAGTCCCACTGCCGCTTTCTGCTTTCAGCTCCCAGGTACTGTGTTCAGTGTGTGACAGGCAGGATGGTGGAGCTCAGGAGGTGACAGGTTAGCTGGAAGGGAAGCGGCATGGGACATGCAACTCAGCTTATTTAATTGTGTCCCTATTGCAGGTCGGCGGGGTCGTTCAAGGAAAGGCCATTTGAATGGCTGGATTTGATGTGTTGTCACCCCAAACACGGGGGTAGTGCTTGGCACAGCGGAGAGGGGCAAGGACATTCCATAGGAGCTTGGGATAAAGGGCAAAGCAATTATCATTAATGACAATGATGGTTTTGTTGGGTCACTGTGCTATTAGAATGAGGCACAGGAAACCCCTGTTAACTGAGAAATGTGTTTCAGCAGAACTTTTGCATAGGAAGCCTCTTTGGGGATCAAATCCTGGCCTAATCCAATGGGAACTGGACAGACACTGTGCCCCTCTGGCTCCCATTGCTCCAGGAGCAGGGAGTGCTCAGCCCCATAAAGGATCAGGCCCTCGGCTGCTTGAGCACAGCCAGGAGAGAGGAAAACAGCGCCATAAATCTCACTGCGGGCAGGGGCAGGGAGCTCCCGGGCTCAGAGGAGGCAGCGAGGGCTCTGAATAACCCTCGACAGCCCCGTCCCTGCCAGCGCAGCCCGGACACGCGGTTACCCATCCTGAGCGGGAGGGGACACCAGCCCCGCGCTGCCCCCGGCTGTCCCAGCACAGCCAAGCTCTGCCCAAGGCACTCGGTACCTCCTGGGCTCCATTGGGAGCTGTTTTCTCACCTGGTTTAGATGAGTTTAACTCCACTGACCCCGTGGATCTGACTGGGTACTCCAGAGCAACACCAGTTAGTGCCGGGTGTGAGCTGGGGGCTTTGTCAAGCTCCCTGGGCATAGCTTTTCTGTTCTTGTTTATAAAACACAATGCATTTTTTCTGTAGTATGAGGCATAAAATAATCCTCATTCTCCATTTCTGTGAGCAAATCTGTTATGAACACTGATTTTGGCTCATCTTGTCTTCCTCATATCAGGTACTGATGTGATAAAGAGCTTCCCAAATGAGTTCAAACCTTAGAAGAAACCCCACTACTCCCTCAAAATCCCCCTTTCTGATCCAGGTGTGGATCCGGGGCTGGCGGATGGGGAGCTGGGATCAGCTTTCTCTTCATCCCAGATGGATAAACCTGAGCCCTGATGACACAAAGGAACAACCAAGATCTGCTCCCAGCAGTGGGGATACAGGATCTCTGACCACCCTGTGCCCCATAGATGTCCATCCAACATCACACCGCAGTCCTGAAAAGGCCTGCTAGGATGCCCAAGGGTCCTGGTTAGGGCTGTTGATCCAGAATTGGCTTAACTGCTGCTGGGTTTTGTGCATCACAATTTCTTTGCCCTTTTTCTTACTCTTCCAAGCTCTTCTATAGGATGTCTCTGCCCTTCTCTGCTGCACCAAGTGCTGACCCACTGTGATCTACTCAAGGAGGGAAATAGGATTCTCTGATGCACAGGGAACCTGGTACTAACTCCCTGCCCCTTCTCCCAAGCAGGGCATTAAACCTTCCCTGCTGCAGGGACCCTGCTCCCACAGGCAGCCCCAAGGACATGCTCTTCTTTAGCCCCATCATCATCATCATTCATGCTCCTTATGTGGCTCCTGGTCCATGCACAGGTGCAAATGTGGTGCCTGAACAGAAAAGTACTTTAAAAAAAGCCCCTAATTCTGTATCATTTAGGAAGTAACGATGTTCCCCTCTGTGTGTAAAGCTTATTGCACTTAAAGCTGATAGCCAGACATTTGAGAGGGAACATCACTGCCAGAGCCCTTCTGAAGCGCAGCTGCCAACTGCTTGCCTCAAGCAGGAACGTTGCTTCCAAACCCACAAAGAAATCCAGATAATGCCTCAGGACCACAGATTCAGCTTACTTTGGATTACAAAAAGGCCAAATATTCCTCTTCAAGTGATGCCCCACTCCCACAAACCTTGGGAGAGCCTGCTCAGGGGATGGCCAGGAACCCAGGATGCCTGGATACCTCCCTGCATCCCTTAGAAGGGCGCACATCTCATGCTGGCCGTGAGGCTGGCCAAGCGAGGAGGATTTTTGGCACCATGAGCTGCACCTCTGAACATCAAAGCAAAGGCAAAGGCTGCTGTGCTGGCCACCTGTGTTGGAAGCACACAGATATGAGTAGGGCAGATTTGGGCCGAAGCTATGCGACGGCAGTGGTGTGCCTGGATCCTGTTTTCAGGGCTGTTCATGTGCATAATTAGCAGTGGAAGCATATTTCAGTTTCCCCACAGTGCAGATCTTTGTCTTGGCTCCCTGTAAGCGCCCATAGCCAACAAACACTGGTTTTAACTTCTAAGATAACCCATCTGAGCAGATAAGAGCGGGTACGGACCGGCTCGGGGAGCCGCGGGTACACTGGGAGCAGTGATTGCTCACCACAATGAGCGTGCTGCCTTACATGCAGATGCTCGGTAAGCAGAAGTTAATGTAGTTAGACAAAAAGGGCTCAATTTGGAGGGGGGGGGGAAATCAATAATGTCAGGGAGTTTATTACAGGGTTATGGGCCACCTGCTAGACCCCAGCATTAAGCAAGCGTGATGCTGTGCTTTGGAGAGGGCTGATGGTGCCGCGCTCAGACAGGGCTAGCGCCAGGATTATTATTTTATGCCTCAGCAGATGGCTTCTGCTCAGGGGTTTTATCTTTGAGTGCAGGCACACGACTGCTCATTTGCTTTCTCTTGCTCTGCTAACGTAAGCTGGGCAGGAAGCAATTGCCAGTTTGATGACGGTTCATTATTGCTAGGTTTATTCAGTCTGAAACAGCGCAGCGAGAAGCAAAGAGGGCACAAAGGAAGACACTCAACCAGTTAGTAGTGAGAGATGGGGAAAAGCTGGGCTCAGAAGCTTGTCTTCCACTGGCCCCTCTCTTTCTGTCTCTCTTTGGGTATCCCCATAGATAATTCAGGGGTGCCATAGAGCTGGTATCTATCGAGATTGCAAGGGTCAAATGTTGAGAGTGAGTTCATCCCGCCTTAGAGCAGGAGGGTCTCGGTCACTTCCCAAAGTCCCTTCCAGCCCTGTTCTCTGGCACCCTCAATGTGGAGTGAGACCTGCTCCATCCAAGCTTCGAGTTAGGGAAATCTGAGATCTGTGCTGCAACCTGGAACACCGAGAGACAGAAATCACAGCCACATTGCAGGGCCAGCACTGTTCATGTCAGTTATCTGCTTCCATGATGTACAGGCTGGACAAGAGCGCTGTCACCTGCTGAATATGGGGAGATATATGGGGATATATGATATGGGGATGGCTGCATCCTGCACTGAGGCACAGCTGCACCACAGAGGCTCAAGCACCTCACTTTGTTGTAGGTTTTACTAACTAGCAGTAAGTTTTGTGGCTAGCTCAACTAACAGCACTTTAGGGAACTCTGGAACTCCTGCACCCATTCCAAGGTGTGCAAATGGAGATGTCCCCATGTCTTGCAGCAGCCATAGGATGAAAACCTCATTGAACTGGTGCATTTGCTGCTGCTGTTTATGATTTTCACGTTTGGTTCTTGGTTCCAGGTCATTCTGAATGAGGATAACAGCGAGGGGCAGGCCTGGCACGTGCTCAGGCTAAGTGCTCAGCACATCTTCCACCAGAGCCGGTGATGCTTCTCCGGGAACGTGAGTTAATTTAGTTCCACATGTAGGAGGCTAATGAATATTGTTAGACCCATTGCACAGATTGACTTCAGTCTGCAAATGACCCTCTTTTAACCTCCCTCATTTACTCTTAGGAACTTAAAGCAGGGAGGAAATCACTTACTGAGTGTCACACAGCAGCAGCCGCAGAAGGCTGGAGCCCCCAGACCCTGCTGCCCACCCCATGGGCACCATTTCCTTGTCAGAAAGCTAGTTCAATACAGAAATGTCACGTTGCTTTTGTTTGTGATGTGATTCAGCTTATTAAACAGTAAGGTTTTAACCTGCTGTGCTAATTCAATTCAACACAACCCCATCATCTTCCTTGAAAACCCAGTTCCTCCTGGTTTGTGCTGTAAGCCTTAACTGACTTCAGCATGAAGGTCCCATCTCACTGTCGCTCTGAGCTGTTCCTTTTAGAAAGCTTAAGAACCTACTGGTGGATGGGGGTTTGTCAGGTGAGATAAAGGTGAGATAAAAACTGCTGCACCGTTGCCTGGGTTTGTGCTTCATTGTGAGGCTTCAGCAACCCCCTGAATCCATTGAAGTCTGAAGCCCTCGCTGTGGCTGGGAGCCTCTCCAGCTCCCAGCGACTGGGCTTTTCATCAGGCAACAAGCCAAGGTTGTTGGCTTCTCCAGTCAACCTGGAAGTGCCAGAGCTCCTCCGAGGGTTTGGTATCCAAAACTTTGCTATAAACAATAATTAATGTTCACAAAATGGAGCTATTTCCATTTCTGCAAAATGCCATCAAATCCTTTTAGCGTCAGTTCTGTCTTCATGGAATTTAAACCTAAATTAGGACAAAATTCCTTTTAACTGAAGAGTTATTGCCTTCATTTGCCTTTGCTGGCTGTTAGTGGTCCCGGCTGCCACTCAGTGCATCCTCCAGCCATGCTCAGTGTGACCTCAGCCAGGAGCAGTCCCTACCTGGTAGCTTGGCCCTGCGGACCGGATAGAACACATCATACGGTCTGCACTGCTGGAACCTAGACGATGGCCATCAGAAAGGGTGAGTAAATCTCTTCTGGCCCACTGACACCCCACTCAAAATGCCCAAAGGAGACTAAATGCATACGTGGCATTAACAGGGTACTCCTCTCCTGCCATTCATTCAGCAGCTGATCTGAACACTGGCTGGAAGCGCAAAGCAGTGATGATCTACTTCCACTGAGCTTTCAGGCACCAAGCCACCCCTGCCTGCCCTGGTAATGGGATGTTTGTGTTCATTAGTGGCTCTTTTCATTGTAGCTCTTTCTGATTCCAGCTAATTCAACACACGTTTGCATTTTGATCTTTTACTGTTTGCAGTGTGAAGAGAGCACCTGCAGCCTACACCGCAGCAGGGTTCACTGAGAGGCAGCACTTTGTTATCCACAGCAGCTTGGTCCTCAATTGCCTGAGGTGATGGTGGCCAGCAGAGCCATTGCAGGTAACGTGGCAGAGATCCATGTGGTGTAATCGTTATCGTTTTCCCGTGCCTCCGGGGCCTGCACGTTATCTACCCAATTGCCAGGATTGTGTTTTAATGACAGACGCAGCAGGCTCCTTTGAGCAGGGAGGTACAAAGGGATGGGAGCATCGTTAGAGGCAGCGTTTCAAACGCTCCGTAATGGCCTCAATATTCTGCTGACTTCAAAGCGGAGCGGGGCGAGGTTACAGCCAACCACGCTTGGAAATCCCACCCAGCGCTTGAGTTTTCTTGACCTGAAGGCCAGTTCAGCAGCTCTGCTCCCACAAAGCAGCTTTCAGGAGTCCTGTAAAAGCGGCTGCAGTGATTTCAGCCCTGGGTTCACATGGTAGCAGCATGTGAACGGTGGAAAGCCCAGAGGACAATCCAGCCCTCCCAGGTTCTCATTGCTCTTCTGCAGATGTCGGGCTGGCAACGCTCTGGCTCTCTCCTCACTGGCTGGGGGGAAGTTTAGGGCAATGGGATTCCTAATTAGGTACTTTGGTGAAGGTACTTAGGTACTGGGGTGAACTTTGGTACTTAGGTACAGGGGTGAGCTCCTTCAGTGGAACAGGAGGATTTGGGGAACCCTCACATAGCCTTTGCCTTTGCTGTGCATCAGCCATGAGAACAAGTTGACTTATGTGCTTGGAAAATCTTTACGCTATCCCTTCAAACCATCTCTTCCCATCACAGAGAAAAGGGTCTTGAGTTCATTTTCCTTTGGTGTTTCTTCTTTTGTAAGTTTACACGTTTTTCTTTCATGTTTCTCCAACTCCGCAGTCACAAAGCTCTGTGCAGGCTGGGAAATCAGACTTTGTCATACATTTCCACACATTTCCATAAACTAATTCCCTCTTAAAATCAATTAGATTTGTCGATGTGGAATCGTGATCAACATGGGACCCATTCCTGCCTCTGCCACTGTGAGCCTAGACCACTCACTGCCTCTGTGCCACAGCCTCCACCCCTCTGAAGGGACCATAAAGCTCACAAGTGACATCAGTTTGTCTCCTAAATCCCTGCTTCTTGCCATTGCCACAGCAGTGATGTGCGTGTGTGAGGTGTGAGCTGCAACCCCAAAACCGCCTGGAAACTGTACCTACAGCTATTTGTTTGCATGTCTTAAGCTGCAGCTTAAGCAGGACCCTTTCCAGCTCACACACACATAGTTCTTTTTTTAACTTTGCCATGGCTTTGAGACTAATACCACTGCTGTTTCAGAACATATACTGGGTTTGGACTTGCTCAGCTCCTTCTCGGTTTCCCTGAGGAATCTGGCGTACCAACGGCCATGGAAAACCAGGTTAAGCACACAGTAGAGGCTTTCATGGCCCCTAATCTTGATGACAAAATTATTTGAACAAACACTTCTTGTGTCACCAATATATATTATGTAAAACCTTGTGACTTTGATTATGTGTCTATAATACAGATTAGTCTGTTTGGGTGTTTGGTGCTGACCTCCAATAAGCTCCTAAAGTATTAGCAAGAATTTGCAAGTGACAGGCAGGCAGAGGTGCTGCTCTGCCTAATCCCATTCTCGAAACTCAGGCTATATATGTCTGAACAGTTTCTGTTGCTTTCCTCAAGGCACGGGGTTATTTCTTTCTCTGCCCCCACTGCCTTTGTCCTACTCTTCACTGCTTTGATGTATCACGAATGTTGGAAGATTGAGCTAACCTTGTGGATCAGAGCCAGGAAGACAGCGAGAACAAATTTAGAATAGGAGGCAGAGAATGTACCAGCTGGGAGGTGATGCTGTCAATCTCCATGGAGACCTCTTTAGTTACAGCTTTGCTAATTGCTCTGTTGAATTGTATAGCGTCTGGTTGAAAGCCCGTCCAAGTCAATGGGGAGTTTCTAATTGACTGCCCATGTCTCAGGACCATGAAGAGTGCACAGGGCACAGCCCCTAAGTTATGATTTGCATTTCTGGCTTTCTCCTTGATGGCCAAAACACATCCTCAGGAGAACCCAGACGCCATGATCTGGTCTCCTGCATGGGGAGACAGCTCCTGGGACAAGATCCACAGAGGCCTTTGGCTCCGAACGCTAAATAAGACATGGCCCTAGGCCAGCTGAATATATTTGCCCCATGTCCCCAGGATGAGCCTGTTTCATGGCTTGGAAGAGTCAAGTGAGGGACCGGAGGCACAGGCAGAGAGGAATGCCTATAGAAAAAGCAAAGGCAGCCCCTTGTATGCTCAGGTTCCTGGGTTAAGACATCTCTTGGCTCACAGGGGCCTGGGGACCCTCCCCATGACTGCAACTCAAACAGCAACAGCCCTCAAGGGGAGAAGTTTGCAGCTCAGGCTTGAAGTTTGAAGCCAAACTGGCTTTAGACACTAATCCACTGAACAATTTCCAGTTGTTATCAAAATCTATTGGACTTCTTAACCACGAGTCCCTGAGCTGATGTACCACCCCCCCCAGGTTCCAGTGCTCCAGCCTGTTTGTTCAGAAATCAGTTATTTGCCCTACAAATAGGAACAATGTTAAATTACCAAATGGGAAGCAGCCACACACCTGATGTCTTAGGGATTTGGCTGCAAATAACCATGCCCCCAAAAAGCAGTGCCCTTTTCCACCCCGCCCTCCTCATCAAATCTCACTGCATCCTGCATCTGTGTGCATGTGTATGCGCACACCTACTAAGGAATCCCTTTCTTAGGCACTCAGCTCCCCCATGAGCCCCCATGGGATGCTCAGCAGGGCTGAGAATCCATGGGATAGCTGTTTGCTCCATGATTCAGGGATGCTCCCCGTGGCTCAGACCTGTCCTAAATCCCAGCCCCCTTCACCACTCTCAGCACTGCAGTTCCTGGCTGGTGATTTGGTGAGAAGAGCTGTGATTTAAGGTCGAAAGAAAGATGACCGGTGAGTCCTCTGCAGCTTTGCAATGGAAGGATCTATTTATCTCATCAAGAATAGAGAAGCTCTGGTAGAGCTCCAGCCACCCTGCCTCAGGTGCTCCTCCTGCCTGGCACTAGAGAGCTGGGAATTACTGGGTTCAAAGCTCCTGGGTTACCTTTGGCTCCCCTAACAGCAGGCAGGACACAGCAGGCACTTCCAGAGGATGACTTGTCTGTGCTGTTCACCCAGGATGAGGTGAATCAGCCTCTGTGCTCCATGTTTTGTCCCATAGGCATGAAGCGAGAGTTGGGTGACGCAGGCTCAGACTTGGTAACGTGGAGCTTCAAACTGAACCTAATTCACCTACAGACTCTCACACGGGGGGACATCCATGGGGCCAGCACAAAACCTGGTGTAATATAAATCAGTTCTCCCTTGTGCCTTTGCCTTCCCCCTTTGAGATCATCCCCTCTGCATTCACACACTCATTGGAAGGCCCAAAGTGAGCAGCGTAAATGAGTTTACACCTACGTGAATATTTAGCTTGACTTCTAATTCATTCCATCTTTATTCTCCACCAGTCCTGCCATTTCCCTGAGCCTTAATGCCATAACAGCTTTAAATCTCTCTCTCTCTGCACATGAAGTATAAGGTTTAAGGTTCTGACTGTCCCTATGTCTTATTTCTCATACCCTTACACAAGTGCAGGGTTGGTTGAAACTACTAGCAGTGTTATTTTGGTGGGTTGGGTGAGGACTGGGTGCTTCAGTTTGACTGCAGCACCGTGTAACTGGGGATGAAGCCTTCTAAAAGTTGTTCAATAATAGTTTTCAGTGATTGAGAAAGTGGTTAAAGGAGTCTGGGAATGAAACCTGAAATGCAAAGAGAGTGGCAAATTTCATCAGCCTGAAAAAACAGGAGCAAAGAGCAAACACAGACCGTGGTTTCTCCAAAAAAGGAGAAAAGAACCAATGCAGAGGTTCAGTCACAGCCGGAAGCTTGCAGAAAGACAGATATTAAAACTAAACCAATACAATCTGGCACACTTGCTCTGAGGACAAAGAATGGCCCAGCTATTCCTTGCGGTTACTTCAGGCAGCAGCAGGATGTCCAGGCGTGGCTCTGTGCTGCCAGGCATGCCCAGTGCTCCCAGTGATGCCCAGTGGATGCGGTTCCCCCTCGGCGGTGAGGGTATGGGGAGCTCCTGTAAATGCACCATGTAAGTCACAAAGCAAACACACCAGCACTGATCTGAGCTCCATACAAACTCTGGCTATGGCTCAGAGCTCAGTGTACTCCGACTGAAGGCAAAGGGACTGCAGCCATAAGCTCGCAGCACCGGGTGCGATCCCCAGCATCTTCCAAAGGGGATGGCCCTGTACCAGCACCTGCACCACATCTGCATCCGCACAGCCCATGCTTCTGATAGGGTGATGTATCCACACTGTGCCCTTACACAGGTACAGGCATCATCAGGGCACAAACCCAGCAGCCATGGGGGAAAGGGAAGGAGCAGGGACAGAACACACCCTTGGTTTTGCTCGGGTTTGGTGCATGCAACAGGTCCGAGGCACGAGCAGGAAGGCTGATGGCGGCAGCGGGGAGTTTGAGTTGAGTGAACTCGCTGCTAATCCTCTTCTACACAGCCTTTCTTGCGTGAGGAAATCTTATGACTGCAGGGAGAAGTACATTGTGTAACCAAGCAATGGTGAACCCGAGGTGCATTTAACAGGGCTTGGCACGAGCACGACACAGTGGGATACTCATCCCGAGAGAGCGTGAGAGAGACCACCTCAGTGCATCACCCGCCGGCTTCGAGTCCTTAAAAGCCCTGGTGCGGCCTTGGGAAAGGAGCCTGAAACAGAGGGGAAAGAGCCTAAAGAAATAGAGGGGAGAGAGAAAAAAAAAGGCAAAAAGCCCCATAACCCTGCAGGAACCAGCTCATCGCACAGGGCTGCCCCACGCCTGTGCTTGAAACACTGCACAATGTCCCTCTGCAGTGCGCAGGGCTTCGGAACCCGCAGGATCGGAGCTGTGCTACGGATGCACGCTATGGATGCACGCTATGGATGTGCTCAGACGAATTCAAAGGCGTTTTACAATGGCAGCACAAAGCCGCGCTGCGGGCTCCTCCGCCTGTTCCGCGCTGACATCTAGTGGCACAGCGCAGTTGTGCTGATGGACCAGGACCCGGGTTGATGTTTTCAGCCCTCCTGCTCCTAAATACCATTTCCCCAGTGGTCTGACAGATGTCACCGCTGGAAAAGGCTGTTTTGCCTCTGTATCCTATTGGGTTTTAGAATCATAGAATGGTTTGAGTTGGAAAGGAGCTTAAGATCATCCAGTTCCAACCCCCTGCCATGGGCAGGGACACCTCACACTAAACCAGGGCACCCAAGGCTCTGTCCAACCTGACCTTGAACACTGCCAGGGATGGAGCATTCACAACTTCCCTGGGCAACCCATTCCAGTGCCTCAGCACCCTAACAGGAAAGAATTTCCTCCTTATATCCAATCTAAATTTCCCCTGTTTAAGTTTTAACCCGTTACCCCTTGTCCTATCACTACAGTCCCTAATGAACTAGATTTAAGAAGCTGAGATTTAAAGCTTTTACGGTGTGCAAGAGAGCGTTCCGTGCCCTATAACACATCGCCAGGTCTATGCATTGGTGTGCCTCTGCTTTATAGAAGGGAGCATGGGTTAAACAGTGTGATCATTTACGATGGTTTTACTGAGAGTTAAAGGGATGTTGGGCACAGCAGTGTCCAGCTGCAGGCCGCCTGCCTTGTCCCTGGCTTTGCAGTTGTCCCTGGGTAAATCTTGTTGGCAAACCATTGCCTGTGTCGGGAATCAGACTGGTTCTCCTAGTACTGTTGTGTCCGTGGGTACGAGCTGGGCAAGGCTTTTGCTCAGGCTGTGGTGTGAGACCAAAAGCGTGTGATCGGTGTGAGAAACCACCATGGAGTCACTGTGAGACCTCTGCCACAGCGACAAGGTCTGGTGTGAGGCGTCCCTGCCCATGGCAGGGGTTGGAACTGGATGATCTTAAGGTCCTTTCCAACCCAAACCATTCTGTGATCCTGTGCAGGATGTGACCACTGCTTGTGTGTGCTCCTCTTGTGTTCGGAGGGAGGGAGGTTGCAGGGATGCTGGGCACTTGCTTATGGAAGCAGAGAGGCCTGTGGGGCTCAGCTCTCCCAGCGGGTTAACAGGAAGGTGTTAGCTCTCTTTTGCTGCGCTTTGAAGCATCATTTATAGTGATGGATAACCAGGAGCTGTTTGGACGGGTATGGTCTTCCCCTACCTGCCACTTCTGCTGTGGTGCAAAGTGATGGCATCCCAAGCCCTAACTTAACCAGTGTGTTAAAACCGGTGCTGCTGATGAGGAAAGCACAGCACTAAAAGAGAGGCACCGAGAACCCACCCAGCTTAGCGCTGGTTTCCCATTGGTGGCAGGCACCGGGGCCAAAACAGAAACCCTGCGGTGAGAAACGAGCTCCCTAGCGCCCGCCGCACGGGTTTAACCAGGAACCGGGGTGCACGGGGAGCACCCGAGGGGTCCCGCTGCCAGCCCAAGGCTTTGAGCCCACCCGCGGGCTCCCTGCCGGGGCGGCCGCACCACGGTGAGGGGGCTGGAAAGCAGGAGCCGGGCTCCGCTGGCCCTAAACGCCCCGCGGAGGGCCGGGAGCGGCGATGCTCCGGCTGCTTCCACGCTGCCCGGCACCGCCTCACGCCGCCGCTCGGGGTCGAGCCCCCCCCTCGCCTCCCCGCCTCGGCCCGGCCCCGGGCACAAGATGGCGGCGGCCGGAGCTCAGGCCCGGGACGGCGGGCGGCGGGGCCGGGGAGGCCCCGCGGAGAGGAGCTGAGGAGGCCGCTCGGCCCCCGCCGCCTCCTGACGGGCCCCGAGCGGGGCCGGGTGTGCTCCGGGCCCGGCCATGAGCGGCGCGGAGGAGGCGCGGGAGCTGGAGGAGCGGCTGCGGGAGGCGGCGGCGCTGGGGGACGCGGAGGAGGTGCGGCGGCTGCTGCGGGCGGGCGCGGACATCAACTCCCGCAACGAGATCAACGGCTGGTGAGGGGCCCGAGCGGGGCACGGGCTGCCGGGGGCGGGGGTTGGCCGGGTGCTGGGCTCCGCACGGGGCTGGACACCCCCGGCCTGGCGCGGGAGAACCGAGTCGGGAGCTTCGGGTCGTGCTGTTGACAGGAAAAGAAGCGCTAATCTCGGGAGGCTTTGAGGTTTGCGGCCAAAGAGGATCACGGTGAAGGGAGGGCAGTGTCCTGCCATCGGCCACCACAGCCCTGCTCAAGGGCCTCATGGCACAGCTACCTGAAGGGAGGATGGAGTGAGGTGGGGTCGGTTTCTTCTCCCAAGGAACAAGGGATGGGACAAGAGGAAACGGCCTCAAGCTGCACCAGGGCAGGTTTAGATGGAGCTGAGGAACAATTCCTGCCCCAGAGGGTGCTCAGGCATTGGAACAGGGCAGGGCTGGAGTCACCGTCCCTGCAAGTGTTCACACAGCGTGGAGACGGGGCCTCAGTGCCATGGGTTAGGGGTGGTCAAGGTTGGACTTGATGATGTTAGAGGGCTTTTCCAACCTGGGTGATTCTGTCATTCTGTGTCCACCAGCAGGGCTCACTGGGACAGCAGCAGTCACTCTTCACGCTGTAGCAAGGCAAAACGGGGCCTTGCTCTGCAGAACTTAAAATAGATTCATAGCTTTAACAAGGGATGCAGTGAAGGAAACTTTATTCCCAGTTGCTGTCGCTTTGTGTGTAATTCAGGTGAATGAGGATGGGTGTGTGAGGAGGACCTGGGAGCAAGCTGCTCTAGCGGAAGGTGTCCCTGCCCATGGCAGGGGGTTGGAACTGGATGAGCTTTAGGGTCCTTTCTAACCCAAACCATTCTGGATCCTAGGAGCAGGGACCACAGATCTGAAGCTTACAGCACAACCTCTCCTTCCTTCCCTGCAGGACCTGTTTGCACTGGGCCTGTAAGCGGAACCATGCACAAGTGGTGTCCTGCCTGCTGGAAGCTGGTGCAGATCCGCAGATCCTCACGGCCAAAGGAGAGCTGGCTGCACAGCTGACTGCCAAACCAGACATCCGGAAGATACTGGGAGGTACCGTTCCCATCTTAAAGGTCATCTGGGATTCTGGGACTAAAGACTAAACCGGTTTTAGTGCTTTTACCCGAGGCAGTAGACTGGCAAAACTTTGGTTAGGACTTTTGTGTCTCACTCGATAGCTCTGATTTATAACTGTAATTCATGCCTTTATTATTATGGCAATTAGACATGGAGTTTTCAGGTAGGAAGGCCTTTTATTCTGCACGGTGTCATCAGGAGATTGAACAGCTGTGTACTTTGGAAACACACTGCTGCAGTCCTGTTTGCTGTCATTAAGCAGCAGGTAGCATGTGGGCTGCAAAGAGAGGCTTTTGCCATTGCATTCTTACATTCTCTGACCATAAGAAATGCTACAAATCCACTCAAAACTGCAGCATTTCAGAGGTTATGGCTTCTGAGCATGTTACACTGTGACTTGCAGTATGGTTAATTTTTGCTCCATAGCTGTGTCATCTTAGACTTTCCCTATGTGCAGGAAACCTGGTTAGAGGTATGTGACACTCCTGCACACTGTTAGTGTCTGTTTCCATCAGCATATGGGGACTGTGCTCCAGATCAAGATTTTTAAGTGCTTCACCTTTGGAAATGTTAACTATCTCCTGCTGATTGCACTTAAATTGCTCTTTACTATGATGCATTCTTACATTAACAGTTCATGGTTATTTTACATGAAATTGCAGCTAAATCACAACTGAGGTCACAACAGTCACCACTGCAGGAATGGCATGTTACTTGCACGAGCATTTTTTGTGTTCTTTGGCCAAGGTGCTCATCTCTTGGCCTTAGTTCATGGAAGGTGACTCGAGTTCTGTTGTTAACATCTAAACTGTCAAGTGTGTGTGAACTCTGTTTGTAGTTGTAGTTACCTTGTATTTCTGTCCAGCTTTCATGTATTTCCTGGGGAATAACACGTATCACTTATATTCCCCTAAATGGTTTTATTCTGGGAGTGTAGGGCTGTTGAGCAGATCTTTTTGAACTGCCTTGACATGAGTATCAACGTCCTGTAATCCTCAAGTCAGGCAAGAACAGCATTTACTGCAGTACTTTAAGGCAAGAGCTGGCTTAGGTATTACATCAAACAGTCACTTACCTGAAGAAATACTCAGTTTAAATGACTGGCATGAGTCATAACAAACTATTTACAGCACTGTTAGTAAAAGCATTATAAAATGAATTTTAGCAAAGAACTACAGGTCATACAGTTCCTTTGACAACAATGGAGTAACACTGCTGGAGATGATGTGTCCTTCAATGGTTGTTTTTTTCCCACTTTGCTTTTAAAAGACATGGTATATTTTAAGAGCCTGTAGATTTTTCTTTCATTCTACAGCTCCTTGCCATCCAGCTGTTACCATGCTTATGACACATCAGTGCCATCATCAGAATGATGATGTTTTAAGACACAATAGAAAAAATATATTCAAAATGAGAAAGATCTGTCCAATATGCTTCATCCCTGGCAGTGTTCAAGGCCAGGATGGATGGGGCTTGAAGCAACCTGCTCTAGTGGAAGGTGTCCCTGCCTGTGGCAGGGGTTGGGACTGGATGAGCTTTAAGGTCCCTTCCAACCCAAACCAGTCTGGAATTCTATTATTGTATGATAATAATATGGTGGGTTTTTTTTTTCTCTCTCCATCCCCTAATCCCATTTTTAAACTTCATTAGTAGAGGAAGAAACTGAATGTCAAGGAATGAAGGATTTCAGTTTACCAGTTGTTGCGAACTACTTGGCCAGCCCTCCATTCCCTTACGTTTACACCGAAGAAAGCATTCCAGACAGCCCGGCAGAATCGCAGAATGAAAGCGCTTCCATCTCCTCTGCCTCCCGCTGTGAAACCAGCCCTTGTTCATCAGCAGCTCAGGTTGAAAGCATCTGCACCCCTACATCCTGCAACAGCGAAGATGACTTCCCTGCACAAGCCGCTGCAGAGCAGCTGCCCACCTCACCACCACCTCCAGCAGCCCCGGAGTGCCCCTGCCAGCAGTGCCCCGTGTCCCCCAGCCATTGGTACCCAGTGTTCCCAGGCCAGTGGTACCCAATGTCCCCACACCAGTGGTACACAGCATCCCCCGGCCAGTGGTCCCCAATGGCCCCATCTGCCCATCACCTGCGCTGGCAGCACTCGAACAGGCCAGACCTCTGCAAACTGACAGTTCACCCACTGGTCCTGCACCATCATTCCAGCCCTTTTTCTTTACTGGACCTTTCCCGTATAACATGCAAGGTAATGAAGTGTAATTTCTCATTCTTCTATTTATATTCTGTTCCATGTTTTTGTTACTGGGTCAAAGATGAAGAATCATTTCACTTTCTGACTCATGTGGCATAGAGGCAGAGATGTTCAATTCTTTGGCCAAAAGTACATCCTGCAGTGCTAAGTAAAACATTACACTGTGTTTAAACATGGTAATACTTTGCAAACCAAAGGAAGGATCAGTCCAAGCAACGTAACAATTCAGATTTTGCATCATATGATACAGCATCAAATACATTTCTGGTAGTTTGGTCACAACTTGACTTGGAACTGGATGGACTGGATTTTTAACATTATAAACGTTTTCCCTGTGTATTTTTGCTGTTCAAATGGAAGCTTCTATTAACTGCTTGATGAGATAGTAAGTATAGCATTATAAAACCTGACTTCAAAAGATAATGGTAGATACTTTAGTGTTAGATTTGGGTTGGGATTTGTTTTGTTTTGGTATTTTGGTTTTAATCTTTTTGTTTTCAATCAGAACTTGTGCTTAAGGTGAGAGTCCAGAACCTCAGAGACAATGACTTCATTGAAATTGAACTGGACAGACAAGAACTGACCTACCAAGATCTGCTCAGAGTTAGTTGCTGTGAATTGGGTGTTAATCCAGAGCATGTGGAGAAGATCAGGAAATTACCCAACACGCTCCTAAGAAAGGTAAGAATTGGAATCAGCTTCGACTTTGCAGTCATCAGAGAAGGTATTTTTGTAACGAAAATTGACAAAACATGGCCTTGTGTTAAAACTGAACTGCCTTAAACTCACAAATCCAAAAGGATGCTGGACTTTTCTTAGAACTTTGTAATTTACCTAAAAACATTCTTGTTGAAATAGGGGCTGAGTATGTCGGCTCCTGTTTCAGTATGAAATTAGTACAGCTTGACTTTTTAATGTATCAGAAGCAGTGCATTAGTGTGCTTTTAACATAATTGCAATGTTCTGCTTCACTGTTTGCTTGCCTAAAAGGAACAAATAGTAAGGGTAAAAAAAAACCCACCACAAATTGGCATGTGAAGAACTTAAAGATGTCATTAACAAATGAGCATGCTCTTCTGTTCCCAAAATACCTCCTGGGGTCTGGAAATGAAATGCATTTGGTCACAACCCTTACTTAAGTGACATGCATTAAGTGCAGGCAAATCAAAATGAGGTTCAAGGAGAAATAACTGTGTAGTTTAAGGAGGAAAAAACCCAGTATGCTTCAAAAGAAAGAGCAGATACTGGCAAGATTCTTTCCTATTCTTATTTATTCCTGTCATTGGAATGAATGTGTGTGGAGGTGTGACCTCCCTGGAATTTTAGTTTTTACTGCCTTTGGCTATTATCACAAATAATAACCAGGTCTGTTTAGAGTAATGCATTGTTCTGTCTGCTCTTTACAAGGACAAGGATGTTGCCAGACTTCAGGACTTCCAAGAGCTGGAGTTAGTCCTTGTGAAAAGTGATGGCTCTCCTTTCCGAAACGCTGCATCCACTCTGATGGAGAGGCAATGCTACAACAGCAGAGCATCAAAGCTGACCTATTGACTCTTCCAGTGTAGCTGGAGGATGGAAACCTGGTAATTCTCCGATGATGCTGCCTTTGGAAGGCAGTAAATTAAGCGTGTGTAAAACCTTAAGTTATTGTTAGGGTTACTATTTTAACTAATAGTTTATTTTTTGTATTTAATATCCCTTTTGCTTTTATTTTTTTATTGATACTGGATTCAGATAAGGGATACCTCATTTGTCTACTAAAACCACATGCTTCCAGTGTCTTTCAGTGAGGTTTATTGGTTGTATTTGGCAACAGAGGGCAGGAAAGACTTAATAATCACTGCTGTGAAAAGTGTGTTTACTCCACTCTTTGACCAAATAGGACTCATGGAAAAGATTCAGGAAACTCTCTGTGTATATATATATATATTTTTCTTTAAACTTCCTGATTAAGTTACACATCAGAGGGTATTTGGCATACAATGAACAGGTGCTCTCTATTGATGTAAAACTTGCAAGTCTTTGTATAAGTCAGTCAGTCTCTTGCCCCTTCCCAAAGCCTTGCTAAGGTATGTTGTCTTGCCTGCTGGGGCTGGAAATATTTAATGCTCTGAAGTGACACAAGAAATAATTTCACTGGGGCTGAAAATAAGTGGAGAAAGAGTGTCACAATTAAATGTCTTTTTCCCATATTGTAGCTTAAGTGATGGCAGCCTTCTACCTCCACAAATACAGCAGCCTCTTTAATGCTTAATTAAGTCCCAAAGCAAGTTAAAGTGCCCGGTTGAAAGCCCTTCTGTTTGAGGAGCCAGGGAAGGGATCACAAATCCATGCCTATGGTTTTAATTAACTATTATTCCCTGAGGATGTAAGGAGACTGTGCATTACTCCAAAGCTAGTCCTGTTAAGTCAGGTAACGTCCTTATGGCCCACCCTCACACACCAGTTACAGGGTGCATGGTTAGTTTCTGCCCTGTGAAAAGCAGAAGCACAACAGTATACTCCTGAGGTATCACAGCTGTGAGGAGCATCCCACACTCTTGATTACCCATACTAAACCATTAGCAAATAACTAACCTGTAACTTTACATGTTGCAGAGTCTACTATCACTTTTACGTAATGTCCATAGTTTTAGCTGGGTGAGTGCTGAAAGGGCTGAATGCCTCCAGGTGCTTCCACCTCATTTTGGGGGCTAGGGGGAAACAGATGATTGTGGTTAAACTACATTAAACTTAACTTAGATTTAAGCAAGTCAGTAATGAAGACATCTACCTGTGGTTTTACAAATGGCAAAAGTCAGCATTAAAAAACACCTTGAAGTCACTCCCCCTTCTGTCTGAACAAGGTATTTAAGTTGCAGCATTGCAGGAGCATTAATGTGAAAATTTCCTGTTAACATGGTAGTCTGCAAAGTTACACCTTAGGAAGCAGTTAGGAGGTTTTTCTGTACCAAAAAAATATCATGATGACCTTTGCAGCAGGCCCCTTAACTGGACACTGAGGTGGGTGAAGGGAGTTGTGTTTTTCTGGGTGTCATGGTTTAAACCCAGTCAGGCAATTCGTTCACTCATGAACATGACTGCTACTGCTGAACCCAGGACACTGGGTAAGAGCTGGTGCTGCTTTTCTTTCCCCCAGTAGTATTGATTTCCCTTCCATCTCTGCTTTCTTAAGCTACACTAGAGCAGAGTTTCCACACAGCTGATGCAGTGTTTGTTGTTGCTGAGCTGGACTGAGGTGTTGACATTCAGACCATCAATAGTACAATCAGTGTGTTTTGGTAGGAGCAACATGGTTGCAGCAAGGTCAGCGAGAGCTCTGCAAGACCATACACTTAACTCTGGGTTCAGCATTGCAGCATGGTACTTACTTAGCGCAAAGTAATTATCCTTTTGCACTTGCTCCCATATACATGCTCTCATTTAAACTCTGCTAACCCACCCATTCTCAATCTTGGCCCTCCTCTAGCTAGGAGCCGGGCTACTTTACAGCCCAGTTCAACTCCTGGTGAACTCAAGACTGCGACACAGTACTAAGTGTAAAATTTCCTAACTCTGGCTCCTGCTGTTTTTCTTGTAGCACAGGAAAGGAGTTCTTTATTTTACCAATTGTCTGTTTATCTGTTCAGCACAGCCTGGAGGCTAGTTTAGATTACGTGCAATAACTGTCTGAAAAACAGTAGTAGTGACTCAAAGAGTAACTAATTCATTTTCAGGTCCTTTGTTTAGGCAATCAGTGTAAAAACTACTGACCATTCAGCTACAGGAGCAGCTGGTTTGAAAGCTTTACTTGCTCTAGCATACACCAGGAATAACAGTTAATGCGATTAGACTAAAACTTTAACCATGATCTGACTGTAATAACAGTAAGCCTATGCATTCAGAGAAATATTTTTGTATGTTTTATGCAGTTTGATAAACTCTAAGGCACACTAGTGTTATGTTAACTGTGTTTTGTTGTTGGTTTTTTCCTTTGAGTAATAAATGACTGAAACTAAGTTTACAAAACTTACTGTTCTTCCAAGGACAACTGGTTTGCACTACAAACTTGTACTGACCTGACATTGCTACTCTTCACCTCTATTAAAGTAGCAGTTGTTTAAAGTACCTGGATCTCTTCCTTTGTGAGGGGTATGGTGTGTGTGGGGATGGTATCTGGTACACAGGAACAGACAGGACACTAACCAGGATGGAGAAAGCATGGAGGAGCTCACTTAAATAACCTACTTCTGTTTTGCTCAGCATTCCTAGAAAATTCCAGATGATACTTATGTTGGGCTTGAGCTGTGAAGATGATACTTTTCAAGCAGCTGAATCTGGTGTGAAGATGCTCATTACAGCCAAATCTGAAGGTCCTATAACAAATATGTGCAAGATAAGGTGCAAGACAAAGATTTTTGGCCACTGAAAGAAGTAGCACAGCCAGGCAACAGCTGAACCAGGTTTCAAAAGGAAGAGATGTTCATGCAATGTCTGCAGTTAGAACTTGGTCATGATTTCACTTGCCTCACCTGCATTAATTTTTCTCCAATCCCACCCCATCTCAGCTCCTGTGCCCCTGTTTGGCATTTGCTTTACAAGAGTAAAATTCAAGAAAGGAACAAAAAATCCCTGCCCTCCTCTGCACCAGGGGAACTGACATGCAGCTCCTTTTATGAGTGCACTTCCACCAGTAGCCAACAGTGCTTTGTTGATGTATGGCTGCAGTTACACATAGAGTCCAGTCCTGAATACTAATATGAGGGATTAATGCTTTTTAGATATGTAAATTCAGTGCTTTACAGACAGTTCACTGCCTCTGCTGACTCACTAGTACACAGTGCAGTCCTTTCCCAATAAGAACTATGCTCCCTTGTGCTGCAGCTTCACAAGAAAGCATAAGGCATGGCTCCGCTCCCTTGTATGTGCCCATGCATGCTCACCAACTGCATGCAGTTGTTAAGTAATACTCCAAACTGATGCTACAAGGCAGACTTGCAGTGGCATCTCTCTCACAATACTGTAAAAGTCTGCTTTATAAAGGCTTAGGGCCTATATTTCTATTGTGAGATTTCTAGTTTCTTAACCAACTGCAACATAAGCCATTTAGCTGCTGAAAAAGCAGACTTGAAACTCAATACTAACTGATGGCACCAAAAAACCCCAAGCCCACAAACACCACAGAATAACTAAGCATCCAAATTAATGGACTAAGCTTGAAGACAGGAGTAGATTTATTAGGAAAGAAACTTGCTTAATATTAAACGTCCAATGACAGAGACAATCAGCTTTGTAACAGAAATTCAAAGATACTTTATTTCCATTTCTCGTATATCAAGAAGCTAGGAATAGCTTAGTTGTAAAAATGGGATCTGGTTTAGTTTGATTCACACAAATACTAAACATTTATTCTTGTGTTTTAAAGTCCAAGAATGAAAACTCGCAATTAAACACTGAGCAAGCCACGTGTTCAGGTTATGTTTGTTTCTTATCTTAAAAAGTCTTAAAGAAAAGAAAAAGGAGACAGGACTTATATTCTCAGTAGCATTATGTGCTCTTATCAACACATCTTTCTGAACTCTCTGGGAGGAAACACCAGTCCTGAATTAAATCTTTTATATATATAAAAAAAAATAAAATAAAAATACTAACTCAACTTTATATTTTTCTACGCCACTACAGCTTTCTTTCACCTCATTTTAAAGCAGATCTTCAGTTTAAGCCGTCTTCCTCTGTCTTCGCAGACTCTTCATGGAGTAGTCCTATAATGCAGAAGTTTGGGAAAACAGACAATTAGACAGCATTAAGGGCATTTTGTTGTCATTCCTATATATTGGCCCAGTTGTTAGCTGGCAGCTTAACTCTACAGAGATGTCAACATGACTGGCTTTAGAAGCAATAATGTAGCATTAATGGTTTAATAATCAACATTAAGTGTTTAAGACTTCCTAGCATAAATAATAAAGCTATAGTAACAAATTATGTTGCAAGAAGCTCATTTATCAGCTGTACTCTCCACTGTTAGCTCCTTATTTGAGGAATACAACTAAAGACCTTCTGTAACAGTAAGAAAGCCAAGTCAAGAGTGAGGAAAAAACTTCCAGTTTTCCTTTTAATACAGTACTTGTTATTTCCTAGTGTTTAACTGTTTCACTTCCAGCAACCAGTTTTTCAGCACACATTATTGCCATGAACATTGTAATCACATGGTGGCATCTGTCTTTGCATTTAATTTGCCTTAGAAGCCTGTTATCAGCCATTCTACCTCTCTGTGTTATGGCTGACTGCAACTTCTCCTACACAGTAGGAAATATTAAACACATACCTCTTAAAGACTTGCACTGCATTGAAAGTAACCTGTAGTGTTTATTGCATTTTAAACTCTTTAAAGATATCTAATTCTGGGCAGCACTGCATCCCTACACACAGTTGAAAGAAAATTCCATTCTGTTAACATCGGCTTTTACAGTATTCACACAATACACAAAAGGTCCTTTTCACTATCTTGAAAATCAAAAAAAACACAACAGTAAGCTTAAATATTACAGGCAACAGCATTCAAACATGGATGTGGGTAGAGAAAGGAGTACCTGGCATGAGTACCTGCTTAGTTTGACTGAATCCTTGATTTTTAATTTGGCTTTTCATGGGCCGCTCACAACACCAACGCTGTGTGAGGTATGGTAGTCAGCTGCAATAATTCATAAACCCTACACTTCCATCAATCCAATGCTACTGGCTCTCGAGTTACAGAACAAACTGCATTAGAATGCAAGGCAATAAAGCAAAAAAAAAAAAAAACTAGAAACATCCTTGACAAAGAAACACTAGCAGTTTATATGAGAACAAAGTAGTCCAACATGTGCCTCCGATATTAAAGTATTAAAGCAAAAGGTTCTGCTGATGTACCAACACAATATGGACTTAAATACAAAAACAGTTCAATTTTTTTTTAAAAAACGATAACAAAATCCCTAAAAAATAAAAAAAGAGGAAAATTAATTTTGCTATGGTGACTATATTACAAATATGTCCCAAAGAGGCACACTAATGGGGGGGCACGAGTCTGCTACAAAATAGCTGAGACAAAACAATGTACCTCAAAATGTTTTGCAGGACTACACTGTCTTTTCCTTCAGAAGGTGCTTTAGTATGTCTTCTTACTTGGCTTAGTTCCATCTTCATCTGTGCATACTTACGCTGCACTGTTAAACAGTAACAAAAAGCCCTAATCAAAGTTTGAAATAATGCACTTACCTCTGTCTGATCTGAGGTCATATCAGATCAGTTTTAATTGGACTGAGTGTCACCTTCAGATTTAATGTCTTCACTGGTCCCATTGACCTCATTCTTAGTATCACTCTCCTTCGAGTCTGTATTTGTGTCTTCACTCTGCTTTTCTCGACTACTGGACTTCATACTACTTTTTTTATCATCAGATCCCCTCTTTTCTGCCATGAAAGAAGACATTGACCATGGATTTCAAAGTAAAAAAAAAAACAAAACATTGCACATGTGAGATATATATTGCATAAAAAATGGGACAATTACTTTCTATAGCAATAACAGTAAGAAGTACTCCAAAAGTTACAGAAATTGGCTTCAGACTACCAGGCTGGAATGGAGAGGGTACCAAAAAAAGGGTAAAAGGGGACAGCAAAAGGTGGGGAAAAGAGGACGGACAGAGGCAGCTACTCAGCTCTCTGCTGAAACACACAAAGTGGTGTAAAGAAGCAGTCAAGAAGTTAGGCAAGTGTATCATTATGGTGCATGGCTTCCTTACTTATCATGGGACTGTCATTTCTCCCCCCCTCCCCCTCCCAAGTTTTAATTTGGGATGTGTATGGCTTCTTTGGGTCACAATTCTCATTAAATATAGCTCTTCAAAAGAGAATCCAAAAAGAGCGATGGGACAATGCATCACTGCATTATCAAATACATCAATACTTGCCAATTCAAAATACAGCAAAACCCCAAACAAATACTTGGGGAAACAATATTAAGCATCAGTTTTGAAGGTGGGGATCACAGTGACAATCAAAACTAACTTTACGGCACAGTCTGGCACATGACTGTCAGCATTATTAATTCTCCATTTATAAAACCAGCAGGAAGTTATAATCCACTCATTAAAAATCGGGGGGGGGGGGGGGGGGGGCAGTTTGGAAGGTAGATAAAAAGTGCCAAAGGAACAGCAAGATGGGAAGGACCCCACAACTTCAGACTGAAAAGTCTGCTGCAGTGCTGAAAACCTCATCTTTTCCTCAAACATCTTCAAAGAAGGAAGGAAGCCAGAAAAACATCTCCATGGCAACAAAACCATTCAGTATTAGAGCTGTAAATGCGGTGTTTGCAAATGTCATAAAAATATCAATTCTTTATTATTTCATACCATAACAGTCAACCTTTGATCAGGAAAGACACTTTGGAGAGAAAAAAGGAAATAATCCAAAAAACCAACCTCTCAGATGCCATCACACAGAACAACATTCATGCTCTTTTTTCTGATTATTCCCTGCTAGCTGGGCAATTAAAATGAATCATATAAATATATCATATCCCCAACACAGGAGCACATAGATCAAGCACTCTGACAAAGCTATGTTAAATAATGTGATCACCTTGACTGGCAGAACACACTTTTATATTCCAGAAGACAAAGCAGAAATTAAGCTTTAAACCAGAAGCAACATTCCAACTTGGTTTAAAACACAGCATCAGAAGGAGGGGTGAAGCCCCTCACAGATATGAGGGCAACTGCCTAAGGAACACCACTACCGAGGTTTCACCTGAAGCAGCACATCCAGTGCATGGTGCCTGGAAGACACAGGCACCAAGGTCAAAAAGCTCACTGAGGAACTAGTCATTTTGTATCTGTCTGCCCTCGGTTTTGAACTCCGCAGGTAGATTTGCACTCTAACTAACCTTGTTAAAAAGTCGTCTTTTTGTGTCTTATAGGTATCTCCGATGCACACGTAGATCCACTGAGGAATAGTAGTCTTGTTTCCCCGCAGAGGACTAGTAGTCAGCCCAATAATCTTATCTTCTGTCCTATGTAGATATGGTAGATCTTAATAGCCCTACGGATGTGCAGTGTGCAGGGTTTTGTGTCTTGTTTGTTTCTTGAATTTGGTCAGGAAGGTTAATTTTGTTTAAGGTTAAAAAAAAAACTACTATTAAACTGTGGTACAAAAGATGAAACTCTTCTAATACCCTTAATAATAAAATAGGTTTACCATAGCAAACCTCCAGTGTGCCAAGCAGGACTGAGAAAGTGTACTCCACAGATAGTCCAATGACTGAAATTCTTTCAACTCCTGGAGTACCTGCAAGCAGTTAAGTTCCTCCTCTCTATTTTCTACCAGTAAGATTTCCTTCTTCAGAAGCACATACAATTAGCATGCTGTTGAAACTGGGGGGATTATTTCATCTGGGATCTATTAGGTATAATCACAGACTTTGCTTGCTTCCTGATTCAACACATGCACATTTTTCTGATTGAGACTGTGTGGGCAACTGAGATGTATTTTGTGAGAATAAATACCAAGATAATGTGAATGCAGAAAATCAGTCAAGCCTAATATCCAGTACTACTGAGGTTAGGGTGTTCTGACTGTACTTGCTGAGGTTTAATCACCAACACAAAAACACGATCACAAGCATAATTACTTTTATATAAGTATATAAATCCAGATTATGGAAGGTAAAGAGCCAAGTTAAACTGGTCTGAAGGCATGCTTCAGTATTAACTCTTCATAAAATGAAGGTATATGCAGAACAGATGTTTTCCTTCTCTTAAAGAAACCCCCCCATTTATTCCACCTACTCCAAAGTTAGTTCCTTGAACACTAGTTGTGTTCTGAGGGTTTACATTAAGCTAATGCTCAGCTGGTGTTTATGGCTGGTGGCTCCCTCCTTTAGCAAATGCATCCCTGTTCCTGAAACTTGAGTCAGAAATTAAGTGTCTTCATTTTTACACATACCTTTTTCTCACAATCTTAAAGGTTGCTGTATTCCACAGTGTTTTCTGAACAAGAAACCAAACATCTGCATTTTCAAAGTACAGCACTAATTTAATGCGTAACAGGAGGCAAGTCTTGGGCAACTGAGCCTTGCTTTTTGTCCTGTTGGGATTCATGTTTATAAAACAGTTTGAGATTTCAAGATGAAAGGCACTATACCATAAGGAGTTTCAGCCAGGTCTTTGCTGCTTACTTTTATTAATTGTTCATCAATGCTGGATATAAAGAAAATTAGAGTCTGAAGCTAGTATTCCCAACAGAGCAGTCAGTAACTGTAATAAGACTTAACTGCCACATTACTACTTTTTGTGTAAACAGCAGAGCAGGTAACCAGCTTCAGATACATGAACCTCTAAAGCTGACTACTTACCTACCTACAATGCCACACTGCAAACATAAGGATGTAATGGTGTTTACAGCTCCATCACAGAAATTCAATGCTTGCTTCTTAAATACTACTGGTTTGGTTTTCCCCCTCTTTTTTAAAGGTTTTCCCATCAAAGGGAAAAACACAACCTTCTTCAGCATTACAGTCCTGCTCTAAGGCCTATTCGTGCTTCTACAAATGTTAGGATCATATAGTCAAAAAGAGTAATTGATTTTCCCAGGTGGAATTTTCATCACAGCTCATAGCATCATCTCACTGTTCTTATTTCTGGAGGAAGAAAGTAGCAAGCAGCAAATAAAACAGCCAACAAGGAAACTGGTTAGAGTTAAAACTAAAAATAATGAGATGCTGAAGAAAGTTCTCTAGTTCCTCTATTTATGGAAGGATCAAGGGAAGAGCTGAAAAGCCATTAAGCTCGAAACCAGACCAAATTTGAATAAATAAGAACACAGTTATTTATACGCACAGATACACACACAATACTGAATAGGACATTCTTGACCAAGTACCAGAAATTTGTTCAGAAAGCAGCAAAAAGGGCACAGTATCAGGTAGGAATAAAGTAACAGATGGACAGATACAGGCTACAATACTGGATCCGAGTATAAACATCAGTTCCACTACCAGTGAGCAAGCAGCTAAAAACCACTTGCTTGGAAAGAACGAAGCAAAACAAGAGAAGAATAGATACTAAAGATGCACCACAGTATAAACCAGGAAAGTGAAAACGCTCCAAGGAAGTCAAGCAAGAAAAATACATGAAGCATCACCAACATTTTGGGATCTGCTGGATAAATACGGGAAAGTAAGGGTAGGGCAAACAGGCCTATGCAATCCAGAAACATGCACATAGCACCTTTCATTCCAGAGAACCTCAAGAGTACCTTAGAAAGAGAACAGACTGTTTCATCCACTACTGACGGTCAGCTCGAATAGTGAAGTGGGGCGACTGTTTCAGACTGGGCATTAGGCAGCACCCCAACAGAGCCAGCAGTTTAGGCCAGAAGTTAGTATTACATTCCTCTAGAAGACTTTTAAAGGGGGAAATTTAGCAATAACAATGAATTAGTGTCTTTTCACAGAATGTGAATCTATAGCGTTCTCTGTGCAGCCTTTTTTAATCCTACTTAAAGCATCTGAACACCAGCCTTTGGTGAAGCAGTGAGTCATCAGCAATGATGCTGTCTGTGGCATGAACTGCTATAAAAGCATTCCAAGGACTAATAGAGCATTCTTTGAGACTCACCTGAATACTGACAAAGCAAATCTCACTTCATCAAAACAAAAAACACAACAAGGGGAAAGGATGGGAAGAACAGCAGGAGACTGGGGAGAGGGCATGAGATTGTAATTTAGAACATTACAGAAAGTCTGCAAGATTTCTCTTGGACTGCATTCATGGATTAGAGGAAAAAGCACTGTTAAAGGAAAATAAAAGGCAACATGATAGTGTAGAGAAGTAATAGATGGTACAGGTGAAAACCCAGCTACCAATCTCCCACAAAACATGTACCAGCAAAGGGTAACTACAGTAATACCTGCTAATAGTAAGAATAGAAGATATTCACTCTTATGAAAAGCTGACTACAGGCTTACATTTTTCTAAACAGTAAATGGGTCTTAAGATACAACACAATCTCACAATTTGCAGACAAAATGGAAAACTTTTAATAACTGCTGTGACAAGTAAGAGATGGACACTGGGGTGTACGTATGCACACAAGTGCATTAACAATAACTGGAATTAACAAAATGCTTCGAATTGGTTAACAGCAACACATACAGCTTATAAAACCAGATCTGGTTTGATCCTAAGAAGAACTTTCAGTCACTCACTAACTTAAACGCTTTTGAGACTTTAAGGAAAGATCAGAACTTGATAGAGACCAGAACTCAGTCTTCACACAAACATACCTTTTTCTTTTGACTTCCTGTCTTGTTCTCTCTCTCTGCTTTTGCTTCTGTGCTTGTAGGATTTCCGCTCCCGGCTTTTTGATCGTCTCCTGTCCCTGCTGCGAGACCTATGTTTTCTTTCTGATCTATCATGACTTCTGCTTCTTCTTCGGTCACGACTCCTTAACATTCAGAGAAGAACGTGAATGTCAGCTGGTTATTTTCTCAGTAGTAAAACTACAACACTTTCTAATACACTGATTATTTGCAGAAAATAAGTATTTAAAACAAGCCTTAGCATACTTCTCAGTATGTAAGACCTGGCTTCATACTGCCTTCTTCACTTAGCCAGAATACAACTACACAGCTTAATAGCATCTACTACAAGGAATCAAAGACCAGCTTCAGGAAAAAGCAAGATCCTGTATTTAGGAAGTATATGTCTACTCAAAGCTCCCTTGCAAGACTTCTTCCACCACAATGGTGTCATCTACTTCCAAAACTTGACAGAAGACATTGAATACGCAGTGAGAACTCATCCTGAGAACCAGTAAAACAGAAGAGGAGGAGAAGCTAACAAAGCAGTGATGAGACCCAGGCTGACAGATTAACTCCCCATGAGATTTTTACATTTGGGGAAGTTGCATGAAAAGTCACACACACACGTACCTGCTTCGCCTTCTTTCTCTGCTTCTTGATCTTTTGTGGTCTCGTGAACGGCTGCATCTTCTGTCAGATGTTCTGCTTGAATGTCTACTCCGTGAACGGCTCCTTTTACGTCTCTCTCTATCACGAGCCCTCTCTTTTTCCTTTTCTTCTTCCTCCCGTCGCCTCTTCCTTTCCCGCTCCTCTCTTTCCCGTTCCCTCTCTTTCTCTCGCTCTTCTCGCTCTAGTTTCTCTTTTTTTAACCTTTCATCACGGTCAGGTTCCTCTGTTCTTTTTCTTAACTTCTCCTTAAAAGTTCACAGAAAGAAATAACCATTGCTAAAGAGAAATCATCCAATGTAACTTAGTTTATACATTCTGAGGCTGTAGAAGCTTAAGCTTTTAAAATACTTCAGTTTTCCAAAGAACGGCCTACATATAAGCACTTTAAAATCCTTGAAATGGAAATCCTTCGTCTTGCAGAACCTTTTTTGTCATTCTCACAAGAATACATTACAGTTCTTTACAAAAGCTACAAAAAAACTCCCACCTGAATTTGCATCTTTGCTTATTTCTAGTATAATCACATACAACAAAGAATGGCAGTGCAAGCACAGTGCTAAATGTGCAAGTACAGGACTCCATTTGATTTTTATATCCCATCTTTGGAGTATTTCACCCACTTGACAAAGTCCACTGGACAGCCTTTTATTTACCATAGAAAGCCTCCAAGCAATCTGCAGATGTTCAGTAACTGAAGGAGATGCTTACTTTTAAATCTTCTACTGTAGCTTTTATTTTGGCATAACCCATGTGCTGCTTTCCCATCAAGTGGTCGTCTACCCTGGACTGTGCATCTCCTACAATTAAAAAGGCTCCACAAACTTCACAAACTTCCATTTGTTTTTCTTGGGCTGCAAAGCTTTCAATTGTCTGAAAAAGAAAAGTATTTGATAAAGCAAAAAGTTCTAGCCAGAAGCCAGTGACGAGGTTTACTGCTACTGTTATCAAATCCTAAGCACTAGAGAGCTGAAAAATCTTATCTGCGTGTTTTGAGTACTGCACCTACTAGGATGAGCAGAGCAAAGAGGCTACACAGACCCATTCCATATAAGCCCCCAGGAAAGAGTAAATTAGAGAATGCAGAAAACAACCCTTACTCCGCACTGCAGAGGGTTAGTATGTATATGCATATAGCCATTATCTGCAGCTTTCTTGCACTCTCAGGATTAAGGAAAGCAGAACTCAGTTTTCTCCTAAGATGATTTTTTTGGCATCAACTGAAACTTCTGGAGTTGCAGAATATCCATGGAGTATGAAGGGATGAAAAGGCTAAAATAGCCCATGAAGAAACATAAAAAGGAATGCTGGGCTTCACCACCAAAGGCTGGTGGTCAAATTAATTCACTGTTTCAACAGACAGTCAAGAAATACACTAGAATTTCAACATAAACCCAAGAGGTTATTGCTGTGCAATGCTCATGAATCATGTAGTATGGACACAAGCACTATTGCCTGCGACATTTTAAAACTTTTAAAAGAAAGTCTTTTAACACTGGATTAACACATTTAAATGCCCCGTTATTGTCTAATAAATTCTGCATGGAACTTGCATGCCTTCAGTTTAAGGACAAGGTTATTATAAACAGTGTTGCACCAACCTTTTAAGTAAGTCTGACAGCACTACAAACATGCTACTTACTGAAGTTGTAGACCTCAGCAATTCTCTCTCTTCCTTTAATTGTTCAACAAGTTTCATCATTCCTTGTGCCTCTTCCACCTTCCCTTCTGAACCTAATTCTTCAATCTACAAGACAATTAAAAAAAATCAACTGTAATTTTTAAACAAGTAGCAAAAGCAAGAGATGTCTGGTGGGGGGAAGAAGAAAACCTTACCTGCTGTAGCAGTACATCAATTTTATCAGTTAACACCTGAATCTTCTCTTCGTTTTTACCAGTGGGTCCCGCTCCCTGCCAAACAGTATAAAAGTGTTTTTTTTTTTAATTTATTTTCTTTTGGTTTGGGGTTTTTGTCTCTTTTTTTTAACTTAAAATGGCTTTAAAATACATTAATGTCTTCTTATATTCCAGAGACACTTCAGGAATAATCTCTGCCTCTTCTCCCATGAGAGCCTACTAATAATAGCCTAGTCCAACACAAAATACTCCTCAACACAGCTTAGTCCTCTCCTGCTGAGTTAAGCAAGTTCTAGTCACACTAATTCCTCCTAAATCAACAAAAACATTCAAGGCCCTGGCCCATAAAAGGTAAGACATCTGAAATTCAAAGTCCTAAATTTAAACCCTGAAACTGCCATGCAGCTATCGCATATCTTTTCAGATACTCCACTATGACCTAGGTGGTCAGTGGGCTCTGAAATCTTAACTTCTGAACATAAGCACAAAAAGAATCTCACTTCATCTGAAGTACTTGTTGGCAGTGTAATCTCTATAGGCTACTGGAGCAGACTTACATCTGCCTCCCCCCCCAGCTTTTGCTCTACTCCACAGCCAATAAGCTCTCTTAACTGGATATTGTTCACAGCTCCTTCTGAATCAACTGGACTTTGCACAGAACAATTAACTGGGACAGTAAGAAGGAGTAAGGCTATCCTAGCAGTCATGAAAGAGACTGCAGGCCACAGTCACTGCTCCAAATCCAGCAGTGGGTAAGAAAAAACAAGTGGAGTAAACACATAAAATTTTTCTCCCAGTCAGCTTAAGCTTCCCATTAACAGCTCTCCAGCACACAGCAAGGCTGAGAAAAGCTGCACAGAAATAGTTCTCTCAAACTCCTGCGATTCCATCGTTGCCTGCCAATGATGGTGCTGGAGCAGGAAGAGGCTGCTGCATAAGTGTGGCAGTTAACAGAGAGATTTAGCTCCATCAGCTGCTGAAAAACTCAGCACTGCCCTACTTCAGCTGTATCACCATGATACAGCTTACTAGTGGAGGGGAGGAGCAACTGAGGTCAACAGGATTTCTAGGGTGGAGAACAGATACTGATTTTGTAGAAACAGAGGCAGGACTGCTGCCTTGGCTTGTCCATTAAGGCCAGATGCAGCCTGCTAACTAGTGGCTGAAGAGACTTATCTAATAGGAATCTTCTGGAAAACAATGTATTTTACCTGAGGAGACAAGGTGAAGAGAACACAATGACAATAACTAGAGGAAAAATTGCCTCACTAGTTCTTCCAGACTCACCCCAGAAGACTGTTGATTCTGTGACAGTGCCAATCGAGCATGGCCTCTTCGAATCCTGCGCTCTACCTCTGCCAGTAAGCTCTGTAAATAGCGTAAGAAGTCTCTTTCATAGCCCACTTTCATAAAACGAGAGCTCTTCTCATACCTGGTAAGATATATTTAAAACAGAAGCTCAGGTCAATCCAGAATACATGAAAAACAAGTAACAACCTGCAGTGTTATAAATTCTTGCTCAAGGTAAGAGAACATTATAAAAAGCAGTTAGTTTCTCATGGCTGTGGTGCCTTCAAGAAATTTCAAGTGTACTAGAAACACTATTTGCATTAACATATCAACCAACATACTTACTGTTTACGTAGATTTTCATCATGTATTTTTTCACAAGGACCTAAAAAGACCACATAAATGTTTTAAGCTTGCATTCCTGAATGGTGTATTCACATTCCATCAGCATTTGTTTGTGCACCACGATAGAAGAGAGCTATTAAACACTTCCCAAGGACTTTTATGCCTGCCTTTCTGCTTCCTTTGCTTGGAGTTTGAAAGACACATTAAAGAATGCCAATATGGTTTAGTAATTAGAAAACCACAGGAGATTTTGAGGGACACAGAAAATAGGATTTCCAGATCAAGTTCTACATGGGTAAAACTACACAGAAAAATACCTTAAACACCTGGGGCGTTAAAAAGAGAAGAAAAATTACATATGAAGGGTAATTTCACCAAGCACTTTCTAAACTCCAGACAGCGTTCTCTGTAATAACCTGGCTACTGATCTACTGAGTAAACTTAGGAGGTGTGTGACCTCAGTTCATGAAGGCAGTCACATTAATATTTCCCACCTCCCCCAGCCCATCAAAGTCTCGAATGGACTTGGAAATTAATGCTAAGGAACCTGTTTTTCCTAGTTACCTTCTCTAAACTACATGTTGTCCACATACCATCACTTGAAAGCTACTAGTAATTTAGAGATGGCCTTCAGTAATAACTACTACAGTAAATGAGTCTCTAAAGTAAAGAGGCTCAGCAACGTACAACCCCACAAAAATAAGTTGTAACTAAAAATAAAAGTTCTATGATTTTTTTCACTTAGAAAAGCAGGATCTGGAATAAATACTGCTCTTAACATACTCTACCACTGGCAATCCTTTAATAAAAAAAGCTTATTTTCAAAGTGTTTTGACAGAGCATTACACAACAAATACGTAGACTGCAAACAAAAGTTAACTGTAATTACATGAAAGTTAATGAAAATGACACGACTTACCTAGATCAGAACGGGTGTTTGTAAATAATTCAGCTGGACAAAAGCCACAAAGGTAGTATTTACAAACCTGACAGAGAAGAAAGAAACAGGTATCATTTTTTTAACTCCCAAATTTGTCAATTTTAGGTCACCACTTCTATTTTCTAAAATACAGCACAAAAATCCCCTTTGTGCACTGAGAAATTTCGGTGTATTTCACACATTTATACTACCTGGTATCAGTATGTGCCACTATGTGCATCTTAAAAGACCAAAAATCTTACTTTCCATTGCAATAATAGTATTTCTTAATTTTACTGCTAAATATTTAAGTTTATAGGAAAGCGTCATCTACTTGTACATATAAAACAGCATTTAGTATTTCTAAATGAATTAAATCAGATTGAACCAATAAAATAGGTTACAATTCCTTAACCATGATATCCTACAAGGGGTGAGGTATGTCTGCCACGAAAGCATGAGAGCAAGTTGCTCTTAGCTTGTCTGTAGTAACCATATTCAGCCTTCTTTTCATCAATGCTACTGGCCAGAACATGAGCCATCAGCATTCAAACATCAGGTACTGCCTCAAGGATGCTTATGCCAATTGCAAGACTTCAGATCAAATACAATAACTATCCAAAAACTTCTCCATTACAAGGCTTTTAAAAATCCTTACTTTAAGAATGATATGCAAAGACACACTGTACCTCCTAAGGCAGACAGAGAAGACATTGATTTTAACCTGGTTTCCTGCCAACTAAGAAAGGGTTTGTTTTGTTTCTACATAGCCTATTTTTAAATTAGGAAGCCAGGTTCTTTTTTTACAACAGAAAAAAAAAACAACTGTTAGTCTAGCCAGTAAATACTTAACATATGATGGAATAAAACCAGCTTTGGTTAAAAAGATTATCACCCTCACCCATGAGCATGGGTTTAGCTCATCAAGTTGGTCAGTTCTTGGAGTTCATAACACAGAAATATCTCCTGTCTATCCATCAGAACAGACACAAAGATAAAAATCAGAAATACTTTCACCCCTAACTTCATGGACAATCTTAAACAATAAAGTCTTCAACCGACCCTTCCCTGTATGTGATTGCCATTAACTAACTGAAGTGTCAATCCAAAACTAGCCTGGACATCCTTTTATCATCTCTTTTATGTTACACCAGTCTCTAATATTTTGCAAATTAGTAACTGCTACTGTGCATTACAGCCTAGTTCTAATACTCTCACATTTGGTGTGGGCAAAGATTTGTGACATACTACTTCTAAGATCCATTTTGAAGCATTTTAACAAATTGGGGTGAAAAGGCCCGAAACTTACCCCATGCCAACACCTCAATGAAATGCCCCAGACACCAACTGATCAAATTAGATCAGTTCAACTTATTTTTCTACACTGTCAACTGAAAAAACAGACTATGGGAGTTAAAACAGTACTGACTGCTTTGCACATTACACAGAAAAATAACCAAGCTTTCTACTAAGCCAAGGACATGAAAAGCAAAACACCTCTTATGATACAATTGGAATATTTCCCTGATTAGGACACTGTGGCACGCACCTGAAGCCATTTATCAAGAACAGTCATGAAAGAAAAACGGGTGGTGTTTTCTCAGGAAACAAGGCGAAAGTTACTGCACAAAAATGTGGTTTCAGAATCTGCTCTATTCTCTGAAAGAGACAAGTTGGACAAAGCCTTGGGTAGCATGGTTTAGTGTGGGGTGTCCCTGCCCATGGCAGGGCATTTGGAACTGAATGATGTTAAGGTCCTTTCCAACCCTAACTATTCTATGATTCTAAGACTGCAGTACCCCTTCTTTGAGTAGCAAGCTGTTTCAAGACAGCAGCTTCTAGGATGAATTTCTGTACTAGTCAAGAGAAACACAATTTCTCTCTACGTTCTCTTTCTCCTCCATTTTCTCATCTTCCTATCAAAGTACTAGGATCAGTGAAAAGGGATGGGTTAGACAATTTCCTAAGACATACAGAACACAATAATAATGGTTTGAGCATTTTATGATGTAAAGAGAGTTGCAGAACGTCTTCTGTCAGCTCAAAACCTATGTAAACTGGCCTGTAACAGTTCTAAAACAAGCAGTAACAAAAGAAGCAAAAGAAAAGTTATTAAGGGACAGAAGTATAATGAATTATAACAGAAAACCAACAGCAGAAATACTTTAAATAATTTTATGTTGCAACACTGCTAGGAAAAGCTTGCTCTTATGAGCTGATAGTTACAGCCAAAAAGGGTAGTTACCAATACTAAAATGTGCAGCTTAAACATACATGACACGTTGCATTAATTATTCAGATGTACTAAAAACCAAAACAAAATCAAAACAAAACAAAACCCTCATAACTACTGCAGTTTTTGCCTGTGTTTCTCCTGACTGGCTCTGGTTGCTATGGCTTCTAGTCAATTACTTGACATTCTTGACTAAGAAGCAACCTGCAGAGAAAATACACTACAGTGGTCCAGACCATTGTGTTTGCAGCATTTCTCCCTCTGCCTTACCTATGTCATTATGCTCTGCAACTGATTTCACTTTAACAGAAAAATATTATTTGAAAGAATCTTGCAGAATCTTGAAAATTATCATTCTGACCTAGCTTCCCCCCCAGTGGTACATGCACCTTGACAGGCTGGAGATGCTAGTCAGCTGCACTTACAGTCCATCTTGAGTAATCAATGATGAGTGCTAAGAGAAAGGGCCAAGACACAGCTGAAGCATTACTGAGCCATTAAAGCCCTGAAACATAGGCAATATGCTTCAAATGGCACCACTGACCCATGGCTTATCACACTGCTGCACTTAGCACAAGTCAGAAGTAACATGGAAGTACATTCCATATTTGAAGGAAAAAGCAACAGGCAGTTTAGAATCATGGAATTAGTGGGGATACAAGCACTTATTCCTTTTTGCCAAATTATTCTGACAGTTCCACTACCAAAAAGGTGTAACAGAGAGGAACGTTACTGTCAAACTACTGCAGCAGAATTAGCCACAGCTGATGCCTCAAAGCCTTTAGAGTCTCACATTTCGGTAAGACACCAGAACAAATACAGATAAGACGCTTGGATATTTCCACTCTTCATCTCAAATTCACTAATCCTTGAAATCTCTTGGAGGTGGGAAAGTAGTACACTTCACCTCAAAGCTGATTGAAGCAACAGCAAGAACAGCTACCTCCTCCACAGTCTGTGAACCAAGACAAAGCCTTTCTATATAAAGTAAGTATTGACAGCTCCATATCATTAACACTTCTACATTAACGTGTTTCTCTTCTGTAAGAAATTATTTACTGATAGACAAGTATCAGTGTAAGTCTAATAAATAATTTTGTAAGCAAATTCCTTTAGGAAGACAATTCCTAGTAAAAAGGCTGAGAATAAATTCAGCCGGTTGTGGCTTACACACCAAAAAACTAGAAAATTCCTTTATATAGATGAGTTCTTTGAAACCCTTAAAGTTTACACACATCAGACAACAATGCTCACACCCCCCCAAACCCAAAGAAACCTAAGCCCTTCTTCCCAAACCTCACTTTTAGAGATAACCTTCCATAACTAACTTTCAGTAAAATCCTCTCCCCGCTCATCCTGTGGAGGATTAAGTCCTGAGATTCTATCATGATGCAAACCAATTTAGGCCTTTAGCATTAAAAAAAAAAAAAAAAAAGAGAAGTGTTAACACAGCATAAACAGCCAATATTTTAAATACAGAACCTACATTTGGAGGAACTGCATTTCTAATGGAAATAACTTCTCAAAGTCATTTATCCCTAACAGCTCCCCTCCCCTTCCCACTTTCTGAAAACACTGAATTTACCATGAAGGAACCATTACAATCTCAAAGCCTTATAGGAAGCATGGGGTAGTCAATGCTGGCCTTTCTTGTGCTACAGAACAGCCTCAGAGCTCTTACACAATTGCTGTTTCCACGTGAACTCGTTTTGTATCAGCAGCATATTAAAGCAAGAATGCGTGAATCAATAAAGTTACTGTTCCAGAAATATACTTTGTCTATGGGTATGACCGTAAGCACAAAGATTAAAATATATGATACTAATAATTTCTTCCTGCAAACAAAACAGAAAGCCTTTATGTCAAAACTAGAATTGATCATCTAAGGACATGCTGCAACACTGAAACATAAAACAAGCAGGATTTCATTTTTTTAAGATTAAAGGCTTTAATCATGTCAAAGTTTTAAAGAACTTAAGCCCTGCAAAAGGCTTTACAATACATGATCAACCTATTTCATTAAAACTGCAAATAAATGCTCAGCTATCACAGGCTCTGCCTCCACACCTTCAACATCCACTGTCTTGGATCTCATTGCATCTTCCCTATAGTTTCTGACAGCCACCCAGATGCAATTTACAGACAATAAAATAGAGACAGGCCTGCTTTGGTAACTTTCCACAGCTGAAACTAATGGAATGCAACACAAAATCCTAAGCTCTGGTATGAATACACAGATTTACATTGAAAAGGCCACATGTCAAGATATGTCTAATCCTACAAGAAATGACATTAGTGTATATATTTCATCTGAAAAGCAAAACAGCAGTCAAATAGATGAACTAATGTTAATACCTGATGTTACTACCTTATCTGCATTTTCTGTCTGATAAAACACATCAACATTGCAGATTTCATCTTTAGGTCATGCAGGAAGTCAAACAAACACGTTTTAACAGCAGTGATTTTTTTTGTAATGGACTTGCCAGTAGGAACTTAACTATGGGAACCCATGAAAACATTCCTTTCAGAGAGGTTACATTTAATTATGTCCCTACACACTTCATAAATAAAAGCAGCAGCAGAACTGCAAGCTTTTGCAGTAACCTGCAACTGCAAACAGCAGCAGTTACTGCAAGACTGAAGCTCAATCCTAAACCTGTGAGTTTCCCACTGGTCTTGGACATGGAGAGCTCTCCCCTCTCCCAGTTGCCAGCAAAGGACTGGGAAGAAGAGACAAGGCCCTGTTTCTATAACAAAACTGAACAGCTTAGAGACAGAGTCCTATAGTCTCTCTCTTCAGTCTAAAACGGGAAAAAAACTGCTCATTTGAAGATGAAGAAAGTAATCTGAACTTGATTAAAGAAAATGGGGAATCTTTTTCATCTTATGAATCAAAACAATTCCCTTATCTATTCTACCTGGACCAACATGGCTCAAGCTATTTACTTCATATTTCCAAAGCTGAACAACTCCTCTTTAAGCTCAGAATCAAAAGAAAATATGTAACTGGACACCTAACTGAATGATGATACTGGGTTAATAAGGGAAATCTAGAAAGCATTAAGAAGGTCATGAAAATTTGCTGAACTCACAGTTTCCTCCTAACATTTACAGCTTACCTATAGCAGTATTCATCAGTGACAGGACAAGAGGTAAAGGATTCAAACTTAAACAGGGAGGTTCAGGTTAGATATAAGGAAGAAGTTCTCTACTGTTAAGGGTGGTGAGGCGCTAGCACAGGGCATCCAAAGAAGTGGTAAATGCTCCATCCCTGGCGTTGTTCAAAGACAGGCTGGACAAAGCCTTGGGTGACATGGTCTAGCGTGAGGCATCTCTGCCCAGGGCAGGGGGTTGGAACTAGTTGATCTTAAGGTCCTTCCAAATCCTACTCTATGATTTTTCAAACGGGGGAAATCAACAGCATCCCAAGAAAATGTTAACTGAGGAGGAGCTAATTGCTTTATGGAGCTTAAGCCACAGAAACACCAATCCCACAGGTCCTAAAGAGCCTACCGTAGCTGTGACATTTTCTTCTAACATATACTATACTGTAACTCAAAAAATATATAATGAACAATGGGGGAGGGGAGGCAACAGGGAGAGAGGGAGAAGTATTTCACCCCTCCCAAAGCAGCAGCTATAGCAACTTTATTATTACTGTTGGTGTTTTGTGAAACAACATACAGTATGACTACAATGGATGTCACTAAAAGTAATCATTCATTAAAGCTCAGCCTCACTCAGGAATAAATAATAATAATCTTGAGTTATTTATTGCAGAAAATTAATGAATCACAACATTAACAAAAAATACACAAGTACTACTAAACAGTCGTACTGTTTAGGTTACTCCCCCCCCCAGGAGCTGCAGAATTCCTTTGACTGAGGAAATACAGGAAGAATCAAGCTTTTCTTAGCAAAATCCTCAGTTTCAAAAGTGTTATGACTCTTCCTTCCACTACAACCTCCAGACAGTGAAGTCAGTATGTCTGTGTCCTTCTGTTTCCTCCCCCAATACGACACTCAGGAAGAGATCCAAAGACATCTGTCTTCCAAACTACTAACGTCTGTCTCATGTCCCTTCGTGCACGCCAGCAGGTCTCTATTCTGAAAGTGGGTACAACCACCACCACCCCCCTCCCGACACCCTATTTTCCCTCTTCCCCACGGCACACTGGAGACCCCGGCCACAAACAGGCCTCTCACAACCCCGCTATTGCGCTTATCGGCACTCCGTGCAGAACACGCCGAACACAAACACAAGGCCTCCCTCCTCCCAGCAGCCCAAACAACGGCGCAAACCCTCTCGCACAGCCCCGCTATGGCGGGACGCTCCTCCCTGCCGGACACCCGGCTGCTCCTCCTCGCCTTAAGGCTCAACGAGGTTCCCGCGCAACGGCCCGGGCCCAGCGCGCCCCGCGGCCGCCATGCACCAGCCCCGCAGCCCTGGGCTCCGCACCAACGGCCCGGCCCGCGCAGCGCCAAGGCCCGGCGAACATCCCCCGGGACCGGCACTTTATCCCGAGCCGTCCCCGGGCCGGGGGAAGCCGCAGCCCCGTACCCGCCGTGTGTCGCTACGACAAAACCGTGCGAGGGGGATGGGGAGAAGGGAGGGGAAAAGAAGGCTTCACTTCACTCACGCTCTCATGGTCCCACCGCACGTTGCTGCGCTTCTCATCCGGGGCCAGGTTTCTGTCCCGGCCCATAAGCTCATCTAGGAGCTGGGCGGCCGATATCATGGTGTCTTCCTGGCCGAGTCCCCCCTCACCAAACACAGACCCCGCCGCCGCCTCTCCTCACGAACCGACCGCGCCGCCGCCGCGGACGGTGACAGAGACAAAATGGCGGCCTGGCTCCTCGCCCAGCCCACAATGCACCGCGCGCCTCCTAACCGCCTCTGCGGCGTTGGCCCGCCGGCGGCCTAGCGCGGGGCCTGCGGCCGGCTCCCAGCCCGAGCTGGCGGCGGTTAAAACGGCGATGGAGCCGGTCCCCTTCCCGGTCTCCGAGTGTCCTCGTGTGCGTGCTCGCTGAAGGGCCTGACGTGCGAGGAGGCAAATAACAACATAGCCAAACAGCAGTGGTGTGTGACGGGTGTGCGGGACACCAGGGTGCTGCCCCGGCGGTGGCAGGGCGCTGGGGCACAACCCGGGCTCACGGTGCTGAGGTAGAGGCTTGCAGAGATGCTTGTGGCCAGAGGCAGTGGACAAGGGCCTGGGCAGCGGCTGGAGGTTATCCCAGACCTGCTGCGCCATGGCGTGGACCAAGGCTTAAATGGTTTAGGAGGACATACAGTGACAGAACAAGCAGGAATGACTTTAGGCTGACAGAGGGGGGAGACTGAGCTGAGCTCTTAGGCAGAAGCTATTCCCTGTGAGGGTGCTGAGGCGCTGGCACAGGGTGCCCAGAGAAGCTGTGGCTGCCCCATCCCTGGCAGTGTTCAAGGCCAGGTTAGACACAGGGGCTTGGAGCAAGCTGCTCTAGTGGAAGGTGTCCCTGCCCAGGCAAGGGTTGGAACTGGGTGAGCTTTAAGGTCCCTTCCAACCCAAACCAGGCTGTGATTCTATGATTTTGACTCTATAAATTGTGATTTTTTTCCTGAGCTATTCCCATATCTTGGTGTAGGACAAGCTCGCAATGATCAAACCCAGCTTTTCAGAACAAACAATGCAAACTGCAGGAATTACCTGCACTCTTTCCTGTTAATTTTGAGGTGGATGTTGATCTGTTTGATTTTAAGGATTAATCAATTGTGCTGACAACACACGAAGATGATGAGAACTCCCTGGACAGAACAACAGGGTGAATCTAGCACCCACAAGAACGAGTAACATTCCTTAAGCAATTACACGCGTACCGAATCATAGAATCAACTAGGTTGGAAAATCCCTTTAAGATCATCAAGTTCAACCATTAAATACACGCCCCGGTGCTCCGGGCCGGCTGTGACCCGGAACGCGGTGGCCGGGCCGCGGGTGTCACCGATAACAGGGTCCCCCAGCAGAGACCGCCGCGGGGTGGCACCGGGCGCTGCTGTCCGCCGGTGCCCGGTTGGGAGCCGGACATGAGAGCTCATCCCGGCCTGGAGGCGGCGGCGGGGGGCGGCGAGATGGCGGCTCCGTGCGCCGAGCGGGAGCGGCAGGAGCGGCTGCGGGAGGCGGCGGCGCTGGGGGACGCGGCCGAGGTGCAGCGGCTGGTGGAGCTGGGGGTCAGCCCCAACGCGCAGAACGAAGTCAACGGCTGGTAAGAACGCCCCGGGCGTCCCGGTGCTGCGCTGTGTTCACCCCTTGGCGTGAATATGGAACCGCTGTCACCCGCTCCCTTCCCGGCTCCTGGGTGTCCTGCTCCCTCAGGTCACCGTGTGGTTACTTTAGACTGGAAGGGCACAAGCAGCCAAATCTCAGCCGTGTTCACATGTAACCAGAAATACCTTCATTAACTCCTAAATCAGGTTTGGGAATGACTTTTAAAGCAGGGTAGTTGCAGGACGTGTCAGTGTTATATATAAATGCTTCGGGTTTGACATCTCATTCAGACACTAAACCCAGGACTCTTCAGTAATAGGCACTTGTACAAGTGGGACTCTATCAATGAACACACGCACGCACACACACAGTGTTATCTGAAGCAGGATTTACAGGGAATGCTCAGGCATTTCGGCAGTCTGTTTCCCCTAAGTTCAACTCTGCTGTGTTTGCTGTGCTGTATTGGGCTTGAGGTTGTAACTGAAGTAGGAAAGCTAAAATTAGGTGAAAGCTTGAGCAGCAGTTTTGAGAAGCGTGGGGCACTTGTAACTTGAAGTTCAGCTTCTGGTGATTCAAATTAGAACTTGTAAAATCTTACTGGTTCATAAGATTCAAAATCATCTTAGCATGGAAGATAAACAGGTACCGGTCATCAAAATGAGGTTGTATCAAAAACTGAAATTGATGAACGGAATCTGGCTTAAAATACAATTGTTTTTAAAATGATCTGGTCGTTTGTAACTATGGCAATGAATGGATCCTCACTGTGATTTAAGTTTGCTTGTAGAATTAACATTTCTTCAGGGAGACTGAGACTGTCTGATGCCGAGAGCTGCTGAGTACTTACATTTTAATGCATGTCAGGTCCATGAGTAGATGTTACCTCTGTGTGAGACTACATGGAATGGTCAGGATGGATCCCAAGGTCAGGCCAATGCTCCTGCACATTCCTTCTCACCAAAGCAAACCAGTAAATTTTGACCTCAAGTCAAACATGACCATGCTGTCTGAGCCTTTTCCCTCCACTTTGGTCCAAACCAGTTTGCAACTTGGCAACGTGCTAATTCTGAGTTCATGCGGGCTGTTCACACTCATTTCACGAGGAGAAATATGTGAAAAGTCCAGCAAACACTGCACAGGGAAACTAAACAAACCTGGTCTGAGTTTCATGGACCTTGTCTCAGATTATGTGGGATCTCTGGTGTCAAAACATCAGGAATACTTTCTGCTGACAAAATTCCTTTATCCCACTGTGAAACAGCACTTTCTAGCTGAAATGGCCAGCCCAGCCTTGGTGGGAGAACACAGGACTTTACAGTATTGCTGACAGTACCATCTTGGAAACACAGATCTTGTAAACATCCTTCCTAGGATAGCCTGTGAAGAAAAATAATATGTATACATACACTTACATTCCTGTTTCTTCGGTTAGATGTTAGATGCTGCAGTGACTGGTGACCTTTAATTCAGGCATACTTTCTGCCATCAAGATGCATTCGTTTTAGTAAGAAGAAATCGTAGAACTGAGGTTTACTTAAGTCAGAATGTACAAAAATGAACAAGGTTTTGCAAGTTACCTTATCTCCTTTTGGGTTTACCTGATTTGTATGCGTCCAAAGATCAGATTCTCTTTTTTTCCTTGCATGTTTGCACACAAGAAAACTCAGAAGAGCCCAATTTTCTATACAAAGTTGAGAGTTACTGGTCAAGATACAACTTTGCAGGCTCTTTCTTAACAACAACTCAAATCAACCAGCCAACCAAAAGCTGAAGTGGAAAAAAGCCTTTTGGAGCTGGACTTTCAATGGAAACTATTTTCCCCTTATAAGTTCATTATTTAGAATCACAGAATAGTTAGGGTTGGAAAGGACCTTAAGATCATCTAGTTCCAACCCCCCTGCCATGGGCCATTTAGCTCTGCTTTATTTAATTCTTAAACAATAAATAAATAAACTTGGAGAAGGGTTCAGTGTGTTCATCTTTCTGAAGTTTTCTGCAGCTGGAGATAGAGAATTAAAATGGAAAAGCTAGGGAAAGATCAAACATCACTAGAACCTGGGTTAGGGAAGAATGGTTAAGACCATATAACGAGTTACAGTGTGTAACTACCTAAATAAGCTGAGGAGGTTTTAGGATGTTTCTTCACTCTAGGTCAGCAGCTGCAAACAGCAATTTGAGAAACCAGACAAGTGGTTTGTTCTGTGCATCACTGACAGACTGCTGAAAACTGGTTGTGTGCAGATCAAAGCTTCAGAGTTGCTGCTGCAGTGAATAGTGACCGGGCAAAGAACTGTGTGCTTAGAAACTCTGCTTACTGTATTCTGAACAGCATTTACTTTCCAAAAAGTGCAAGTCATTGTGCTGGCAGCATTAATTAAAGAGTAAAAATAGCATCTTAGGGAAGGCTCACATAAACACACACTCACAAGTACTTGAAGTACAACTTATTCTGTCTGAGATTAAAATGGCACACACAAATCTTTTTATAGTTATATATTAGAACCTTAATAAATGACAAATTGAAAAGATCTTGAGCTTTAACAATGCAACTGTGGTAAATTGGTATCTAGCATTAGAGCAAAGAGAAACTACATCAGCAGGTGTCACTGCAGGCTCCAAAACCAGCCTAAATTTCCAAGGAAGACTGCAATTGAAGCCTCTGTTAGACATGCACTGGGTCTTGTTCTTCTCCTAGGTAGCAAGAATGGGTGGAAGTTAATCTGCCATAATTCAGGATTTAAACAGTGTTAACATTTTCCATGTGCAGGACTTGTTTGCACTGGGCATGTAAACGGAACCATGCTCCGGTAGTGGCTTACCTGCTGCACGCTGGTGCTGACAAGGAGATCCTCACAAAGAAAGGAGAAAGGCCAGCCCAGTTAACATCAAAGAGAGAGATAAGGAAGATGTTGGGAGGTAAACCAATACAAGACTGTAGCAAAAGGCTGTTTAATGCATGTGTGTTCCAATCTTTATTTTGCATGTGAAGATACTGTGTTTGGATCTTAGTAATAACCGTGACTTGATTTCTAGAGTGTTTAATTGGTAAGAAATCGAAGTTTAAGAACAAGATTACCAACAAATTCCATATTCAGCCAGCCAAACTTTTGTTCTAAACACTGAACAATTAGATAAGCTGTATTTTGAACAACAGCATGATTAAACTAGTGACAGCTAAATGCAGCTTCCTATTTTCAAAAGGGCAACAGGAGAAAAATCTCTCAAATTTGTATGAAACCCTTATATTGTAGAATCATAGAACGGTTTGGGTTGGATGGGACCTTGCATTTCATCCAGTCCCAAACCCCTGCCACGGGCAGGGACACCTTCCACTTGGAGCAGGTTGCTCCAAACCCCATCCAGCCTGGCCTTGAAGACTGCCAGGGATGGGGCAGCCACAGCTTCTCTGGGCAAACTGTGCCAGTGCCTCAGCACCCTCACAGGGAAGAACTTCCTAATGTCCAATCTATCTCCCTTCTACCAGTTTAAAACCATTCCCCTTTGTCCTGTCCATATATGCCCCTGTAAAAAGACTCTCCAGCTTTCCTGTAGCCCCTTTAGGCACTGGGAACTACTCTCAGGTCTCCCAGGGGACTTCTCTTCTCCAGGCTGAATCAGCCCAGCTCTCTCAGCCTGGCTCCACA